CACACAAGAGAGAGACTATGAAACCATTTTCAAAGCTGTTAAAGGAAAAGTGCATCAGGTAAATTGATGATATATAACATTATATATCATATTATAATGAGATTTTCCTTAAATGTACTTCATCTTACCTAGTCAAACACACAAATATACAATACATGCATTTAAGAAAAGACTCGGGCTGAAATTTACAATTATCTTCATTAACAATTAAGCTATTTGGTTATTTTTTTGTCAATAAAGCATCAGAAAATAATAAAAGTCAGAAGTTACCATCAGGGTATTCTGATCAGTAAATGGTGAAATTCTGTTGTGAGGGGGGAACCCCGAGGACACAAAATCAAATCATTGTGCTCCACACACTATAGGAACAAAACTGTTAGATTTCTCATTCAAAGTTGCTATGTGTAGCGTCTGCTAAGATCTGCTAAGATCTGAAAAATCTTTTAGTGATGAACCTGCCTTTAAAGAAACAGAACAAAGAAATAATTTAACTACAAAAACAAACTACAACTGTGGTAGATATACTGTGGAGTTGAAGAGTTGATGGGAGGCAGCTGTGCAGACTGGACAAGTGAGGGGAATGAGCCGTAATCAGGAGGAAGCCGTGAGAGTGCCAGGAAGGAAACAACGCCCACAACACATACAAACAGAAACGCAAGGGAAACGGCAGACCTTCTGAAATGTCTTGTTTTGCGTCCAGCACCCACAGATATTCAATTTACAATGATAGAAAACATGTGACAAGCTGAAACCAGAGAATTGTTGAATCTGTATAAGGTTACAGTTACATGCTGGATGATTATTTTTGACATCAACATTAAAACAATCACTCTTTCAAAGTGCTGCTTGGTTGTAATTGAAATAGTAAAAAAAACACCTAAATGCTATGAATCATTTTATTACATTGAGGATGAACATTTAGTTAAATGGTATCTCATATATTTCATATGTAGATAGTTAAACATTCAGTTAATTTGTTCTATGAAACTTGACAGTGGTGATGTTCATAATATGGCTTCAGGCTTCATTTATACTTTGTTGTTCCTTCAGGACTCTCTGTCCTCCCTGATCCGGAACGCCTTGTCCAGAGAGCTGGACTGCTTCAATGATGTGTGTGAGGCGCTCAAGATCACGGAGCTGCTCCTGGGTTTCCTCTCAATGACTGGCGGTGATCCCATGATGTCGTTGGTCACTTACCTCCAGGACATCCTGAAGATGGCCAACCACATTGATCGTCACATATTGCAGGTCAATACATATTTAGCATCTTTGTCAGGAGTGATTGTTAAGGTTTCCTAAAGCTGAATGGCAGTTATTTTATGTCAGTGTAAACTGGCCCCATCACTGACACTGTGAGCACATTAGGAAGGGATCTCTCATTGGCCAATAGAAACAGGAGGACTGTTGACAGCAAGCAAAACCTGACTATTGTTTTAAGACAGAGATGAAAAATTGTGAAGCTATCCTTTGATGCATCATAGCTACTTTTGGGTTGTAAGTAAAGTAATTAATAACCAACACTACAGTTGGACAAAAGAGCTCTAAAAACAAACGCAATACATTATTTCACTCTTACTTGCAATGTATCACTCCACTAACCTAAACAATTACAAACACTCGAGGCAATGAGCACCATGTCATGTAGTTCCCATCTACCAAAAAAATAAAGACATTTTAAATGATAAAGAATATATTAATTGCCGTTAATTAAATAATATCAATCGTGCAAATAAACAAAACTAATCTACCATATAAAGCTTCCCAAAAATAAATCTCATCTTAATTATATCCTCAAAACTCGAAACCTAAAAAAGATACACTTCAGGCGTAAGTTTATTTATTTATTTTTTTGAATCCCAGTTGTTGTTGCTTTCAGACTGCATGTAACAGACTCTTTGCTCTGCTGCGTTGTCTCCTCAGGCTCTGGGCAGATGCAACCTCAGACACTGTGTTTCTCTGTGGCAACTCCTCTCCTCCCTCAAATCTGAAAGCATGCTGCGTCTCAAGAGGGTAAGTGTTGCTTTTGCAGCATTTTTGGAGCTGGTTAAATGTAAAACACGAGCACTGAATAGAAAATCACTCAAAAAAAGTTGTGCTATTATGTCCCATCAAAATATGTCAGTGCACTACACCTGTTTGTCTAAGTAATATTTTCAGTTATATATTTATTCATTCATTCTTTTGGCTCATTTCACTGTATACTTCAAAACAAAACATTTCACTTGGAATATGCACTGTGATTTAACATAAATATAAAATACCTCACTCCGTGTTTCTATAAAAAGGAGCCCTTTTCAGGGTATCCAGCTGAGTACCTGATACCGCTGACAGAGGAGGAAAAGATTGAGCTGAAAGGCTTCGTGTCGAGGGGAAACGTGGACCAATGGCTGCTTGAGATGCACGAGTTCCTCTTGTTGAGTCTGGGCCGCCTCAGGGCCGCCGACGACTACAATCCATCCTGGAGGTAAACCTGTTGAACAAAGTCTTTTCTTGTTAATGCAATTGTTTCCCCCAAAAGCCCTAAAAAGAGATGTGGATTAAAAAGTGTGGCACTTTAAGTGTGCACACTTTGTGAAACGTCCACCCACCCCGGGTCGATATTGCCAGGGATAACATCCTGTGAAACATGCATTAATAAATCAAAGACAGAAGGGCCTCAAATGTGGTCATCACTTACTCATTAAAGCCAGTTGAACATGTAATTAAGTTATTAGGGATTTATAGACTTCCAATAATCATTTTAACTCGAGGGGAATGGTGTTTTAATAATTCTCATTATTTTTGTTCATTTAATGTTGATAAACTTGGACTGCTTTGTCATGAAGCTATAAAACAGAGAGAAAACCTTTGAATTTTGTGTAATATGTTTTCTGTGGTTGGCTCCTGTCAATCACAACCAGTCAACAGCAAATGTACAGTAGTGAAAAACGTAAAAGAATGCAGGTAAATTTAAAAAATGATCCTGAATAAATGCTGGACTGGGAGGTTTTAAGGGACGGATTGTTACGGTTAGGATGTCCGATTGGTCGTGGGATAGGAAGTGCATGCTCAGAATTGGACAAGTGTCCCTCCGGGTCATCCACTCTAGCTTCAGCCATCACACTGGTGCTGAACTTTAATTAATGTTGACATGTAATTGCTTTAATTTTCTGTTTTTAGCTTTCCTGTATGCAAACATGGTGCTTATCATCCACACTTCTTTTTCTCAGTGTAAAAGAGACAGTGTGTGCCTACATGAACCGTAAAGAAGTGGAGGTGCCTTCTTACGTGGAAGACAAGTTTCCTGAAAATCTGCTACTGTCCAAGATTGTGGAGACCTGGAAATGTGCTGTCACAGCCAAACAGGACTGGATGATGGAGGGATGAACCGGACAATTTAAGAGTGATTTCATTTGATCAGGTTAATTGCTGATCTCAAAGCCAAAGAAGTTAGATTTTACTTTGTTCTTTACTTGTTACTATTTTTACTAATTTTTCTGTGATAATAATGTATAAAAGACCAAAAACAATTACCTTAAGGCTTTTAAAAACAATGAAGTATACCATCACTGATTGAACTTGATGAAACACTGCCTTGAATATATAGTTTGCTGTGTGTTAACATGATCCAGCTGCTCATTTACTGCCTTTTGTCACTATATTAGCAATCATTTGAAGAATTACTGTCTGAGTCTCATTGTAAATAAATGTCAGGACCTACTCAGGAAAATGTTGTAAGACTTTGACAAGCACATAATGTGCAACTGTTTGATATTATCTGTTTCAGAATTACTCTTTACATTTTACTATTGACCACCAGAATATGAAAGTTAGGGCAGGGAATCTGTATGGTGGTACAATAAACTAGTACAGAAAAAATTAAACTCCACATTTTATATATATCTTTTCCTACACATTTAAGCATATATAGCTGATGGTTTGTGTGGAATTGATTGGAGTGTTTGATGATTTATCTGGTTTATGTTTGCTTGCTTAGTCGCCTCATGTTTGGGGTTATAGACTCTAGAAAATCATGATCGTAGTGTGTGATGCCACCGATGAGTGACGACAGGGATGTTTGGAAGCCTGCATATGGATGCACTCTTCACTGATATTTTCCAGTTTCAAAAAAATCTAAATCAGGAAATGGGATTCAAACATCTCCGAGCTCTTTAAGTCTTTAAAATTGTGTTAACGAAACAACTTATTTGCTTTATTTTGAAATGTCAAGTAATATGTGTGTTATAAGGTTACAGATCCCACAGCGACGTCCAAAATCAGCTTACATACTGGCCGACAGCCATGAACCCAGAAGTATCTGATTTTATGTAAAACTGAAAAGCAAGTAACTTTTTGAAATTGTAAATGTGAAAGCAGTAAATGTTCATACTTCTACTTTTCAAATGATTGAGATTTGTTACACCAATCAATAAATCAATAAATACGTGTAGCGTGAGACATCACACTTTCGTATTGAGAGTAAACATGTTTTTTTGGTATACATTGGTCACTAATTGAAACGAATGCAACTTTTAATTCTAATCTGATCCAAGTAAGAAACATTTGATCTGTGGGTCCAGTCTTAATCATCTTTGTGTAAGCAGTCAGATCAGGATTTGTAAGTAGTGCACTCGTGTGTACTAGTAATGCGTTTTGCAAAACTTTCAAGAAATTTATGCTACGAAAAAAGTAAAATGAACTTGGTCTTGGCCCCATTCAAGATATGAACTCCTATGTAACAAAGAACGGCAGGGACTTCAGATTTGCTGTCAATTTAGGGGCAACATTTGGAACTTTTCCATGAGATTTCAACTTTACTCCTTATTATACAGCCTAGTGTCAATGTAAACAATTACTACACATTCCAGTTCTACCATCTTATTCACTTAAAACACAACTAGCTAATCCTGGCTATAAATCAAGAATTATAATCTTGATATTAATTTAAAGGAAGTGAAGTGAAGCAGCATCCAGATTGTTTTGACAGAACAAATAGACAAGAACACTTCTAAATAAATATGGCCGCTTTAACAAAAGTCGTTTTATTCTCATGTAAATAATTTACATCTTTTTTTTGCAAAAATAAAATGAAACTCAACCAACAAGACACACATTGGACTTTTCCATTTCAGACTTAAGAATATGAGAATTTTTTTTGTGGAAATCCTAACGAATGCTTTAACAAAAGTGTTCATTTACAGGGACTGAATTCCCGTTCCCCCCAAATGACAGTCTACTGGTCCACCTGCCATGATCGGACCAAACGGAACAGCAGACAAACTACAGAACGTCGCGAACAACACAAAAATAAAGAGCAAGTTAAAAAAAAATATATCGGTGCAACAGAAGTCTGGGCAAATTTCTCTACCTTGAAATCTACACCCAAGGAGACAAGTTGACCAAAAACAAAGAAATAAAAACCTCATTCCAGTGTACCAACTGTTTTTGTATGATACAAAATGTTCTTGCAAAGTTGTAATAACACACTATCAATGGATACTGAAGACGGACTCCGTCAGCTGTGACTGATACACTGGTGTATACTAAAAAAAGGTTTATACCAACGTACAGATGCTAAAAAACAAAATTCAGTGCAAAAGCACAGCTTCTCTTAACGTCTCCCGTTGTGATTTCTGCGATGGCGAGTCTGGACAAGCATCACAGCAGAAGGAGAGTTAATTGTATCTTCCATGTACTGAAGGAGAAATCGCTCTGTGTTGTTGAAGGTGTAATGTTGTCCATCAGTGCTGGTTTTTCATTCCCTGTGGTTTGCCCGGTTTCTTATCCTGCTGCTGCAGCTGCAGCTGCTGCTGCTGGCCCCGACCGGGACCGGTCATTCCTCTGCCGCGACCGCCAAACAGACCTACAGAGAGAAATGTAAAGAGAAACAATCAGTCAATTTTTGTCAACTGTGAGAGAATTATTGTTCGACCAATTCAGGATCTGAGGTAGTGGCACACTAAAGACACAAAATGTAATTCTTGAGCTATCTTACAGCGGTTTTGAGTAAAACCCATGATGCTCCTGAGAGAGTGTGGACTTTATAATAGCAGAGAAATTTGGAAACAACCAAAAACAGTCATGCCAATACTCCTATTAAGACAGCAGGCATAAATAAAACGCATCTGCAGCAGCCTGTCCAATGAGCACGGAGTGTTCCCATTTACCTCGGCCGGCTCCTCCTCCTCTTCCTCCTCCTCCTCCTCCTCCTTTGCCCTGCTGTTTGTTCTGCTGGGGGCCTCCACGTCCACGGCCCTTGGACACCACCTCCTCCTTCACCATGTCGATGATCTCATCGGGGATTCGCAGGTACTTGATGGTGCTTCCTCTGATGTAGCACTCGGGCATCCTCCAGAACTTATCTCCATCCTGTTAAGAGTTGAGTGGGGGTGTCAGTGCAATCATGTTGTCACTTTTTGACAACAAATAAGTTGCGTTTGGTAAAAAGGGCGGGGACAGCAAGCTTCAGCATACACCTTTTTGGCCTGTAGAAGATATATATGCTAGGTTGTATTGTTTTCTATTGTACTGTTATGATGGGAGTGATTGCCATTATTTGTTGTCCGTTTTCTCTTTCTTAATTATTTACTTAAAGGCCAAAAAAACTTTAACGTGTACTTTGGAGCACCTGTTAAAGGCCTCTGTGATTATTGGCCACAAACACTTGGTTTCATGCCTGTTACATTTTCAGAGGGATGCACCTCATCGACGGCGGACTCTGTAGACAACACTGAGACCTACATGTAAACACTGGACCACAGAGATATCTACTTTTCCTTCCCTACAGAAAGTGACAGTGACAGCACAGAAGTGAGACCAGAGCTCAGCTTTACCCTTGAGGTGCAAATGACTTCTCTCAGGTTGATGTTCATCCAGTTGTCACAGCTCACCAGGTGACCGTTGTACGTCTCTCCGTTCTTCAGCTCCACCAGCTGAGGAGAGAAAGGACACAAAAAACAACAACAGCCAGCCGCTTTAGAGCCTTGACGACACAATACAGACACGATACAGGACGGATGAAGGAAGCTAGGGAACAGTTTTTATCATGGTATAAACCACAAAACACTTAAATTATGGTTATTAAGTATTCACCCCCGAAGTGTTTTCCATTTTTTGTAGCATTACAACAATTTAAATTAGAATATAAATTCATTTTTATTTGGATTTGTGGAGTGGACCCATCCAAAATACTAAATTAAATAACTGAAAAGTGGCAAGTGAATTTGTTTTCACCTGCTTTGCTATTAAGCCCTTAAATAAAACCAGGTGCTACCAATTACTTTAAGAGTTCAGGGAACAAATTCAGGGTGAGGTTATAAAAAAAAATCTGAAATCCCCTAGTGCACCATTAAATCCATTATTACAAAATGGAAAGATTATGACACCACAACAAACCTGCCAATTGAGGAACAATGCTTGTGAAAAAGCATGGAGGACATTAATCAAGAGGGGCAACAAAGAGACCAAACATAACCCTGAAGGAGCTGCAGAGATTAAAATAAATATGACAAGTTGCTGCTCCATCTACAATGCTAACATCAGCTCCTTGAAAGAGTTCAGTGTCTCCTCACCATAGGGTGGTTCTGGGCAGTCTTCAGCAGAGATAGTGGAAGCTGCAAAATGACAGAAAAACAGGTCACACTCATGAATCCACCTGCCATGAACAGTATTTAGTTACCCCAGTAAACAACATATCGGGACTCACGTTAGTTTCCCCCTTCATACATTCCTACTATAAGTTGCCCGATACATTGGACAACCCATTGTTCACCCCGGTGTGCTTTTAACGAAAGGGCAGCTGTTACTAGCAGCTTCTAATGGTATGTGTTTTCAGAAAGCGTTTCTCCTGCAGTATGTAACGTTATTCATAGCGTCAGGCTAACATACGTTTACTGCAGTAACGTTAGCTACTTTAACTTAGCTTAGCATCATGTAGCCCAGCGCCACAGTGCTGCTAACACAGTTAGCTTTAGCTACGTAGCAAGCACGCTACTGGACATATATTAACTATAATCGTTTCATCTGAACACCGCAGTTAAATACGTACCATTGTGAAAGTAACTGTTTCGGATTTTGTGTCTCGCTCGCTGTCTTGGCCTTCTCTGACACGATTTGGATTTTAGCTTCTATTCTTCTTCGTCTCCTGCTAATGAGCTTCCGGCTGTGCGGTGTGTCATCATGGCTGTAATATAAGACGCTGCCCTCCACAGGCAAGAAGCAGTCAGTGCGACATGTTGCCATTAGCTTATATTTAGGTAGACCCTTCAAAACACAGTATTTGTTTATTTTTATTATCATGAAATCAAAGCTATAGTTATTAACTGACACTTAATTTTGTGTTCCAGAAATAATAAACAACCGAGCAACCATAAATGAGGGATATTTTTACCCAATACTATGGACTCAAAATACTAGGGAAGTGATTCAGGGAGGGAATTTTTTTTATTTACAGTTCAACTATTTACATTTTCTGACGAATAAAAAAAAAAATATGTAGAAATCCTGTAAGAGTGGTAAAACACATGCTTTGAAGCTTCAACTGAGTTGTTGTTAAAGATTTCTGTTGTTGTCTTTCTGTAATTTTCTCATTCTATATAATATATTATTTATTTCTAAATAATTGTATAATTTCGTCTACATGCCATTCAGTGTGTAGTTCGTTGGATTTAGTTGTTTATTTGGTTATTTTCCATTCACTGCACACCATATATATTTGTATTTGTTCATTGCGTCACCTCGGCGTCCCATCGCTAACGCGATGACGTCACGTATCACGCAGCGAGCAGGGCCGCTTGTTATTTGTGTGTGGCAGACGGAGCCTTCAGCTGTGGAGGGTACTGGCTCTCTTTACGGTCCTGGCTCAAAAATAAAGACCGGAAAAAAAGAAAAGGCGACGAAACCTCTGCAACAGGACGGGATATGGATAACAGTAAACGGACTGTGGTCGTTACAGGTTGGGCTTCTTTTTTTGTTTTGTTTTTGCCGCCATTTGTTGTGTCGTCTTTATCGGTAAACTGAACATTAGGTGTGAAGTGGAGGAAAAGTTGTGCAGATGACAGCTGCTAACGTTAATGGCGTCAGGCTCTCACTGCTTCACTCCGCTGGACGTGTACACAGTTGAAACGTGTTGCTTACAGTTTTAACAATCGCTTCGTATCGGTGGTGTTCAAGTGTGTTTCTATATTTACATTATAACCGCTACTGACGAGCAAGGGGAAATGATCTTTGTGTTGTTTACTGTCTTTCTTCAAAGGCCACATCAAACAAAAACAAGCTTGACATGTTCAACTAAGCGTGAAGACGTATATACACCAACATCACCCAGCAGACGTGTAATGCTGGTAGAATATTGTGTAAATCTTTGTGAAACACGTTAATGATGGAAATGTGTCCGTGATTCAGAGACAATAGTCAAATCAAAGTTCTCTCAAACAGTTTAGGGTTCATATCAGCACGATATCAAAGATATAACTATCACGTTGATATTTGTAATCGACAGACAATCATAATCATAATCAGCAATCATACAACTTACTCTAATATTTAGTATTTAGTAGGATTCACGAGTATCTCATGGAGTGTTTTGTTGTGATCGTGTTTCCCTTTTTCAACGTTTCTGACAAAGAAAGAGTGTCTGAGTGTTTCTTCTGCATGGCTTTGTATTATGACATGAAAGTCTGTCATGGAAGCTGCCTTGCATGTTTCATTTTAGGAAAAAACACTTTGCATCCCTATTTAATTAATTAAAAAAAAAAACAAGATTGATTGTAACTTCACTTCCAGCCACTTAAAACTATTGTTCTCTAATCGCACAAACTACAGTGTTGAACACTGGATCTGTGGAGGATAACAGAAGCAGTGACTTTTCAGACACAAAGGGGTGCAGGAGCCTGCAGTCCCGGCTGATAGGAGCTGTGTCGATTGCCTGGGAACAGCGCCTTCACAATAGCGAGCCGGCTGGCAGCTGCCGGCCCCTCGCTCTGCTCCTTTTCAGCAGCCTGTCAGACAGACTGATCCCCCTCCACCCAACCCCCAGGGACCCACTGACCCTTGTGAGGGTGGTGGAAGGGGATCAGGTATAGATCCCGACATAAACAAGCCTGAGTGAATATCCATAGGCTGCTGCTGTGATTTTATAGGTCGTATAGAGTGATGCATGGAGCGACTTTTAGTGATGGGGAGTGATTGTAATTTGGTAATTCAAGGAAAGCAGCATGCTGCACTACTGTAGAGTCATTGTTTTTCTGAAAATCTAGTATTTTTGAAGTTTCAGGTCTGTTTACTGTTAATAGTTTACATTCAGTATCTGTTTTTCCAGAATTAAATGTATTTACTTTGTTATTTTTACTAGTAAATATGTCGAAGGGATCCCACCAGAAATACAGTTGCACTTATATACATTGAAAGAACAAACGTGGTTCATTTCTGTTTGTGGAAATGCACATTCATGTCATCATGTGTAGAAGCCAAACAGACTGCGTAGTCGTTAACATAATGTAAATGCAGGACAGCAACCAAAATAATGAACGTGTTTTGCAGGTTTTGGGCCATTTGGTGAGCACACGGTCAATGCCAGCTGGGTAGCAGTACAGGTGTGTTTTCCCCCTCTATTGCTGTTTTAATGCACATGTATTTATTATATCTGTGGTGTTAGCATGAGCAGGATCGTCGATTAAAACTATTGAAATTCCCTATTTAGCCTTTCTTAATGTAGTAAAACAAGGCTAAACAAGTCCATAAGCTTTTCCAAAATGCTTTATATTTATTCTGGACAAAAAACAACATCACTATCACCTCTTAAATATGGCACACTGATGAAGCTCACCATGTTTTTAGCCACGACTTAAATAGTCTTCATGTTAAATGTTAGTAAATGCAATAAAATAAGAGCAAGCGTGGCTTTTCCTAATTTAAATTCTCACGTTGAGCCTGTTTTTGTGGTGTTAACATGATGCTCTGATAGTTACCGGCCGGCTTCACGCGGGGCAGCAGTGTGTCGGACGCTCTCTGTGTCCTGCTGGGGAAGCTGCATGTGGGGGGGATGACAGTGGTTGTCAGGGTGTCTAGACGGACTTGATAAGGATATTAAAAGGCAAACAAAAGGCCGCTTTGCGGCGGGGTCACAGACGTGGTCAAACAAGCCTCTTTTCAATACAAGTGGGGGTCAGTGTCCGGGGCTCCTTGTCCTGCAGGGGGCTGGGGGAGGTGTCTGTCCACTGGCTGTGAATTTGACAATTTATGATACTATTAATATTTACGATTGCATTATTTTGTTTCTTGCTTTTCTCATACAATTTATGACGATTGTTTAGTTTTGGAGTTCCATTTTTTTTTTTAATAAGATAAGTGTGAAATAATGTTATTTGGAAAGGACAACAAACATTAAAGACACCTGTCCTCTAAGAAAATGCAAAAAAAAGACTGACATCTACCTGCTTGAAGTTAAATAACATTTCACAGAAACATTTGGTCAATGATCATTAGCATTGGTTGTGGTTTTTTACCAATCAGAATTTGCCTTAGTGTTTATGTGCATAGCGAAAAACTAGTACTGCTAAAATCAAGAACTATGTATTTAAAATAGAAATTTATAATGAAATAAATTATGTAAAATATATCTGTTTTTAAAATAAAAAGAGCTGAACTGTGTAAAAACTGTAACAGGTCAGGTTTAAAGCGAAGGCTTAATGTTAAATGCGTGGTGGGATAAGAGTCCGTGTGTGTGAGGGCCTTGTTTAATTTAAGGCCAGCTGCAGTCGGGAAGTAATGCGCACGTTCTCACTGGATTTCTCTGAATTTTTATTATTTTTTTGTGATTGAAAGTATTGTTTTAAACTTAAGATAATACATATTTTGCTATAGACTCTTAAGCTGACAACAGGCACATCTATGGACGGAATAGGCAAAGAGAGCAATGAGCAGCGTTAATTTATTAAATTAATACAGAGTTGCAGATGTGAAAAAGGATTAAATAAAAGTTGCTATTCTACCAAAAAGGATTACATTTTGTTCATCAAGGTTATCTTGAGTTTCATAACTTGTGTGTTATCTAAGCTCAAAGGTCCACCTTCTAGCTTTACTCATAGTCCCCTTCACCACTGTAAGATGTTTGGGTTAAAACCATCTATTTTAAGATGCAGGAAAGTATTTTAGGTTTTATGTTTTCGTTTGTCCCGACAGGAACTGAAGAAGCTCGGACTGGGCGGTGAAGTGAACTTGCATGTATCCGAGGTTCCTGTAGAGTACCAGACAGTCCAGAGTTTGGTTCCTTCATTATGGAAGAAGTATCATCCACTGGTAAGAAGAAAACGTGCTGTGACCGCTCCACTTTATTCCACTTTTAAAGGAAATCTTTTTCAGACACTTATGGTTCAAACAAATGGAGAGCTGCCAGAGATGTGTTGTAATATGTAATATTGATATTAATTCTGACTTGTGTTTTTATTGATTCCTTTGTTTGCCAGTTGGTAGTTCATGTTGGAGTCTCGGGTATGGCCACCACCGTCACGTTGGAGAAGTGTGGCAGAAATCACGGCTACAAGGGCCTCGACAACAGCAGCTTCTGTCCTGATTCACAGTGTTGCATTGTGGGAGGCCCGGACTGCATCAACTCAGTTATTGACATGGAATCAGTCTGTAAGAGAGTGACGGCCTCGGGGCTGGGAGTAACTGTGTCCGTCTCCAAAGATGCTGGAAGGTAACTATTAACTTTACTTTTTACATTTAGAATCAGCCTTTTGGTTGCTGAGGGACAGGGACATGATGACGCAGTCACCTCACAAATCAGCCGTACGTGATATTTACTATCTGCATAATTAGGTGTAGTTAGTTTGACAGCCAACGTGAAACTGTGTGCAACAAAGTCTGGAGTAAAGGTAGGATGCTTAACAGTAACAAAACATCTATAAATCAAAACTTAACTTTCTAACTTTCATGAAGGGAGGGTTTGAGCTAGGTGTACCTTTAGAAAATCTGGCAACTGAGTGTGACTTTGGCATTTCTATACTAGATTTTTTTTTGTAACTTCAAGACAACTCGGAAGTCAAAGATTTCCAACCTCCTCGTAGAAAAAGTACAATAGAACGCCCTCAAAGTCAGAGTTCCTACTTGTAACATCAGGGCAAATACATCTACCCCGACTCCACAAAGAAGTAGTAGTATGACGTCACACAACAATGGAAGTGCACATTTTAAATAGTAAACCATCAACTAAAGGGCGACATAGCGTACATTTGCATCAATGTAATTAAAGTAATACATTTAGTCGTATAGTAAGCCTGTTCTGCTTGTAACTTGATGTCAAAATAGTACGCCAACGTGCTAGCTGGTTATGGTAAACAGTCTCTGAAAGTTATCTTCTCTGCATACTGCTATATGGCCTTAGCGTGCGTTCATGTGTGCAGCTGATCTATGTTGATGGTATGCAGAGACTTGCAGTCATTTGATGCTGTGCTTTCTTGCCTAACAGGTATTTATGTGATTTCACCTACTACACATCTCTGTACTTGAGCCGTGGTCGCTCTGCCTTCGTTCATGTGCCTCCTCTTGAAAAGCCTTATAGCGGGGAAGACCTGGGCCGTGCGCTGCAGGCCATCATCCAGCAGATGCTTCAGCTTCTGGACCAGGCCGAAGAGAAAATCCACTGCCAGCAGCACTTCCACTAAGTGACCTCCAGATGCCAACCAGCCTCTCCAGCCCTCAACACACAAGAGAAATTGCACTTAACCACAAGTAGCCAAACTTTCTTTCCTTTTTTATTGTTGTCCTCATTTGGACAAAATGAAAACTTCAGAGTATCACATGTCTCAAGCGTTTGTTTCTCTTTGTTTTAGGTTTTTTGCTTCATGTTTTTGTAGCCCTGACTCAGTTATGCTTTATTGTCTCCCGATGGCGAGAAGATAAAATGGGAGTCTCAAGCCTAACTGTGCTGTTTCACACTTGATGTTGAATTGTTTCTTGAGTCCTTTTTCTTTATAAGAAGTTGTAATTTTGCCTTCTTTTACAAAGGTTATTTAACTCAGGGAACGGGTTGGTTCCAGCTCATATTTCCCCCAATTTTGTCGGGCCAATTCTGACAAAAAAAACAAAACAAATCCACCCACTGAGATCTGGCCCCCAGGCTGTAAAATAACATTTTACAGATCTCAAGTTCAGTCCTTTAGTTGTAGGGAATTGTATTATGGATGCACAGTTATTTGAGAAAATATCACAGAAAACTTAATACTGAATAAAACTGTTTCCTCTGAGTGAGCTGTGTTTTGAAGTTGTGTACTACACAGAATATAGTAGTACATATTTTCTCTCTTGTTCATTTTATATACGAGTTACTCTTTAGAATACCTGCAATTTAATCAAACTTTTTAAGCAGTTTGTATCATTTAAAGATTTAAAGTTTTTCTTTTTTTGTGTAGCTCTGTTTTAAATTCATTGATAAAAACAAAGCTTTCTGTTGTTCCCTTCCTTGAATCACATATATGTGCTTAATTTTATCTGAGGATTTGATTTGATGAAGTTGGACTGTCGGTTTACTCAGAGTTGGGCCTGGAATTTTATTTCTGTAGCACTTTCTTTATTTTGTTTTTGAATTTTTACTTAATCTGGAGTATGGACAGCAATTGTAGCCGTGTGAATGCTTCCATTAAATATTTTTATTTTAGTCACTTTAACTTTAAATATGTAGCTTTTCAGACATACACACGTTCATTTTTTTATCTTTTTTGCCCCACAAAAATGATAATGATGCATGTGAGGTATCCTGCTTTATAGGTGAGTTTTGCTTTATTTTCCTGAGCTTTGGTTTGTTCTGACCTCTTAAACAAACTCCAGCAGATTCAAACAATGTGTTTGTAATGGTGCTTCTCCCAGTTGTAAATGTTCTGTTTTATGACGTTTTTATTGGATTGTCCTTGGTTTGTCCTTGGCTGCTGAGTCGTCGCAACAGCCCATGTCACCCAACAGCGCATCAGTCCGTTGTAATTTAAATTTTAGCTTTGAATGGCATGCATTCTGCTTCAGCATCCCGTGTTTACCCAGAAAAAGTAGTTGTCGTAAACTGTCTTGGCTATTCTTAGGTAACTAACACTGTGGTGTCATGGCCTTTCATTGAGTTTTTAATCAGTTAAGCAATTTGCTAGTGAGTTTGAGTAAATTGGTATTATTCTTTAGCAGTGTGTGTTTTTTTAATTGCTATTCAGTCCCATGGTTTGTACCACAAAGTAGCACCCTGGAGCACTGACCTGAACTGAACTGCTTCTCAGACCAAATTTTTTTTGTCTTTTGTGATTCAACTTAAATCTTGGATTAAAAATCTCTATCGGACCTGTTGAAATGACAGGCAGGTTTTAGTTCTGCATTTACCGGTGCTGATATTTTATTGTGGGTGCTGAGAAGTGAACGGGATGTGGAGGAGCTGCCCCTAAAATGTCTACTCGCAAAAGTGAAAGCCTCAACTTTACACATGAGTTGACCTCTGACCCTGTGCCTTGATGTTGTTTATGCGTGTTTATGAAAAGGCCTTAAAAATACTCAGCAGGTCTGTTCAAAGATATATTACTGATGCGGTCCAGTCAGATGTGTGGCTACCTCAAAAATATTGAATATTGTTTTCCTTATATCACGGTTTGTGCTCTGTTGTACAATAATATTATGGCTCTGTGATTTATCGTGAGTTTCTCTGTTTCGGGAGAATCCTCTGAAAGGTGTCTTCTGCTTCTGACATTAACAAAGCACTGTTACAGTATAAGTAACATTGGCTTTTAAAAGGAAAGGCTTTGAAATAAAGAGAATTAAAAGCATTACAAGTAACATCTTTGTCTTTATTATTACAACTCCTTTTTCCACTCCTTAGTTAAACTTATTAAAAGCATTAAGTTAGAGTTGGCACAAAAGGCCTATCAAAGATCACAGACGTGACTTTGAAGCACCGCTGTGTCAATAGTTGGCCTGACATCTACTGTCGTAGATATAAAGTATTGCCTGTACATCAATACTGTGCTGTTTTAGCACTTATGCAAAAGTGAACATACTGTAAGCTAACTGTTCAGGAGTAAGAGAAAATAATAAAGCTGTCAGCTCCCAGTTATAGGTAGCACACCACAGGGGCTTTAATAGCTTGTTTACACTCTGTTCAACGCTCTTTTTTTCAATTCCACACAGAATTTAGACATTTTGGTATTAATGCCATTGTAATGTTCTGATTACATACTTTGCTGTTGTTCCGGTGTAATAATGACTGGCTGGATCATCCTGCTTGCTTAGTAATTCAGCCTTCTGGTGAATACATACTGAAAGCATGGTTAGATTTTGACACACATATGGGCTTAGCAATAGCAATATTATTCTTCACAGTGAATACTGTAGAAACATTTCTAAAATACCAATAAAAACACAATAAAAGTGGTCAATCTAGTAGGCTATACATCACATTCTGTGTGGGGTTTAAAATATGTTGAGGCTGTGAGTGATTTTGTCTAAATAAATGGGATGAAGTGGGATACTTGCAGCAGTTGTATGTCGGTATCCAATAGGTATTTCTCAGTGTTGGAAGCAGTACTCAGATATTTTACTCAAGTAAGAGTAGTAATACATAGAAATACTCAAAGTAATAAAGTCATGCATTCAAAATACAGAACATAAGTATTAATATCCAAGGGCAGAGGGTGTTGTATGCTGTGCAGACTGTAAAGCTCCCTGAGGCATATTTGGGATTTGTAATATTGGGCTACTGTATATAAATAAAATTGACTTGAAATTTATAATCAAAATATACTGAGAGTACCAGTAGTGAAAGTACTCATTATGGCACATTTCTGAATAATACATGTTGATGCACTCTAATGTTGCAGCTGGTAAAGGTGGGGTTCATCTTAACAGATGCATATACTGCCTGGTTACTTAATCTATAGTAATACATCGTCATTTATGTGTTGGTTATATTTTGTGTTAATAATCTGAACCTGCATATTAACAGCTTTCAGATAAATGTAGTGGCGTTAAGAGTAAACAAATATTTGCCTCCAAAATATAGTGGAGTAGAAATAGATAGATAGGTAGGTAGGTAGGTAGATATAGATAGGTAGGTAGGTAGGTAGGTAGATATAGATAGGTAGGTAGATAGATAGATAGATAGGTAGATAGGTAGATAGATACGTAGATAGATAGGTAGGTAGATAGGTAGATACGTAGATAGATAGGTAGGTAGATAGATAGATAGGTAGGTAGGTAGATAGATAGGTAGGTAGGTAGATAGATAGATAGGTAGGTAGGTAGATAGATAGGTAGGTAGATAGATAGATAGGTAGGTAGGTAGGTAGGTAGGTAGATAGATAGATAGATAGGTAGATACGTAGATAGATAGGTAGGTAGATAGGTAGATAGATAGATAGGTAGGTAGATAGATAGATAGGTAGGTAGGTAGGTAGGTAGGTAGGTAGATAAATAGATAGATAGATAGATAGATAGATAGATAGATAGATAGATAGATAGATAGATAGATAGGTAGATAGATAGGTAGATAGATAGATAGATAGATAGATAGATAGGTAGATAGATAGGTAGATAGATAGATAGATACTTTATTAATCCTGCAAGGGGAAATTTGTTCGCTACAGCAGCATTATGATACAGGGAAGCAATCCAAGTAACAGAGTAAAAAAAACGAAAAATTTAGTATAAAAATGCACAATATATACAATGAAAATAGAATAATATTAAATTAACTAACTAAACAGTAGTGCAACGATTTTTAACCAACAACAAACAAACAACAGTGTAACGGAGTATAAAGTAGCATAACAGAGAAATACTCAAAATAAAGTACAGGTACCTCAGATGTCTACTGTAGTAGAGTAGTTGAGTAAATTGTACTTAGTTACTTCCATAGACTGTATATAATGTATTTCCACATTTGCCCAACAGAGGTGCACGCTTGTGTTTTGATACCCGTGAATCAGGTCGGAGTGAGAGCTCTGTCCCCATTGATGATCTCATGGCAGCCTAGCCTACAGTGAACGTCACACGTTGAGCGGCGTAGCCAAGTTCGTCACCGTCGCTGTTGGACCTGCTGAAGCTTTCGAGGTTCGGATCGGTTCAATTTTTGTTTTGGTTCAAATCCACAGTCCGAGCGTCGGCCTGTAAACCAGTTTTCGATAAACAAACACCGCGGGGATTTTGTTCATCTTCAGACGAACACCGGAAACCGCTCAGTAAAGCGAAAGTTGAGCTTCGAGATGAGTGTGGAGGCGTACGGGCCGAGCTCCCAGACCCTCACCTTCCTAGACACCGAGGAAACGGAGTTGCTCGGAGCGGACACCCAGGGCTCTGAGTACGACTTCACCGACTTCACCCTTCCCAGCCAGACGCAGACTCAAGGCCAGACCCAGAGCCAGCTGGACAGCCAGGTCTGAGGCTTGCACTTTTACAGGAAGGCACCTTAAAGCGCGGTTTACCGACGTTAGCCGCGGTTAGCCGCGGTTAGCTCATGCTGCATGCTAGCCCGTCACTATTGGATCTAGCGTTAGCTTCATGTTAGCTAGCTGGAACCGCCAACTCGCTGCTAGCTAGCAAGTCCGTTTCTTAAACTCCTAAAGTAATGTTAGGTGTCGCAGCACGTTTTTTTTTTTTTTTTTACTGCTCGATGCAAACCAGACACGCATGCGTCACTTTAACGACCAAAGATAAGAGTTAAGAGCATTGACAGTCTGTCAACGTATAACTAGTTAGCTGTCTTTTTCCGCGCTGCGTCTCCTAGCCGCTAGCTGCTAGTCGTTAGCATTCAGTTTGTTTGGTAAAGCTTCTGTTGTGCTACAGGTAAACGGTCCTGATGAGGGTCTTCTTAACGGGGGAGTTGAGGACTCTGTGCCCAAAACCAGCCAGCTGTTGGCCGAGCTCAACTTTGAGGAGGATGAAGAAGACACGTACTACACCAAAGACCTGCCTCTGCACGCATGCAGGTACACAGACAGGAACCATGCCTTGATGTCGGTAGATCACAGAGGAAATAATTATAGTATATTGGTGTTTTGTTGATGGTTGATCCGTACTGTATTCATTGTGTAGTCCCTGATCTTGCACACCACATGCAGGGCATACAGAACCCAACATTCATTATTCTCACCAACAGGTACAACACAGTATACTGTCAAACTTTACGAGTAGTACTCATTTAAGACTTTTAACATATCACTAATAAAACACACCAGCCAGCTACAGTGACGGTTTTTCATATTGTTATTATAATTACAATGCTGCTGCCCATTCTATTTAACTTAACTGACAATTATACACAACTTCCATAATTTACGTTCCTGTAAGCATTAAATTGTGTTCAGAGTTTTCTTAATTGTCCTTAGTTCCATTTGTTGTGTATACAATGTAAATTAAAAGTTCAAGATTACCATTTTAACTGTTAGTTTTTAAGAGTCCTGTATGTCGAGAGAATTTCCTTTGAAAACATTTTATTGAAAAATATTTATTTTTTAAAACACTTATTACATGTTAGATATAATATGCTAACTCATCTGACACTGTGTTATTTAAATAATTCCTCCTTTTGTAAAGTTAGCATGGCCTTGCTTTTGGCGAGGCATGATGTGTACTGGTGCCTTTTTGACTAAACACTGATGTGACTCAGATGTGGTTTTGATACATTGTTGTTTTTGCAGCTACTGCGGTATTCACGATCCAGCGTGTGTGGTGTACTGCAATACCAGCAAAAAGTGGTTCTGTAATGGACGTGGCAACACATCTGGCAGGTGTGTATCCTCCTCATTTTCACCTGATTACCTCAAGTATAAGCACCAGAACATGAAGCTACTTAAATGTAAACACTCACAACACTGCAATAAATGTGGGTTATTCTACTATTCTCACCATTGCAATCATCTAGACTTTTGCCACACAGATGATGCTGAATGTGTGTAAAGAGAGATCTGTATAATGTAGTGACTGTCAGCAGTTGACCTAATCAAGCAGGCAACGCAATAAGGAACATAACATTGTTTGTTTGAAACCGAAGTGGTCTATTATGTCTGTCCGGATTTTGTGCTGTGGGTCAATATGTGTTGTTATCCAAACTATCAATATATTTCTGCAGCAATGCTACCAGGACAAGTGTCACAGAGATCAACGTGTTTCTGATCATTTAACTCCCTCTCTCTGAATTCCAGTCACATTGTGAACCACTTGGTGAGAGCCAAATGCAAGGAAGTGACGCTGCATAAAGATGGACCGCTGGGCGAGACGGTGCTGGAGTGTTACAACTGTGGCTGTCGCAACGTCTTCCTCCTGGGCTTCATCCCGGCGAAGGCCGATTCCGTGGTGGTGCTGCTCTGCAGGTAAGTGCATGCTGGGCGGTGGCTTTAAACATAGACACACCGTCCTGTAAGCAGTGTTCATACTGGACAAATCCAGTCAAGAGTGTCCTTCAGGAAAGCATTGACAGTTATTATACGCTACTCTGCAGCGTAAGCTAGCTAAATATGCAAATCCTTTCTTTGAAACTGGAAGTTTGTTCAGGTTTCAGCTGTTGTGTTGTCATCGGGTTGTCAGGCATCCTGATAACCAGGAAACAGATGCAGAGTCCCTGAAATGCCTGAATAGTCAGCCAGGTGGTAAAAATAACTAAATCATTAGGGATAGACTATTAAAAACTTACACATGCTTATGAAGTCAAGAACATAATCTAAATAAACGTTTTTATTTAGACATAAAGCTAGCCCTGCTCCAAAACAGCTGTTGAGTAAATTATCTCCATTAAGATGAAACTAATAATAATTTAAAAACACTTTTCGTCTGTACAAGCTATGTAATGATGACACTGTTTCTACCTCAAACATATCTTTGGCATCTTGCTTGCACTGAATAATATCACAACTATTCAACAACCTGTTGGATTCCCCCAAAATGTGACTTGACTGTCAGACAGAAGTGAGAGATCAGCTATTTAGTCTGCAGCTGTTGTTTGGGGAACTCCCTGCTGATCTCCATAGACCTTCATCTAGTGCCTCCTGCTCTGTGGCTAAAGTATAGCCTTCTCTGTGGCCATGCAGATAGAAGTACTTTGAGGAATCAACTTAAGGCAGGGGAACAAATAGCATCTTATTTTTTTCATCCTTTGCAAAAGTTAAATTACTGTCAAATTCCACAAAAGCTAAATTTCTCTCTGTATGAACCTTTTATGTCCATGCAGGCAACCCTGTGCCAGCCAGAGTAGCCTGAAGGACATCAACTGGGATAGCTCGCAGTGGCAACCACTGATCCAGGACCGCTGCTTCCTGTCCTGGCTGGTGAAGATCCCATCTGAGCAGGAGCAGCTTCGGGCCCGTCAGATTACCGCCCAGCAGATCAACAAGTTGGAGGAGCTCTGGAAGGTATAAGGCTGACAGGCTGGGACACTTTTTTCTACATGTTCAGAGCGATGCTGACCGGATGGTTGTAAACTTTAAGTTCTTCAGCACAGGCTAAAGGTTTGTAAGTGACAGATGCTTACAGGGGCTGGTATCCACCTGTGGCATAGCAGTTTTGAAAGGGATCTGCCACTATACAGTGGAATAAGACTTTGTGATAGGATGTTGGATGTACTTTGGATTGGCGGTTGCATTGACTTTGTTTCCCCTCAGGACAACCCTACTGCCACCTTGGAAGACCTGGAGAAACCTGGAGTGGACGAGGAGCCCCAGCATGTGCTGCTGCGCTATGAGGATGCCTACCAGTACCAAAACATCTTTGGCCCTTTGGTCAAACTGGAGGCTGACTACGACAAGAAGCTTAAGGAGTCCCAGGTACCTGAACTGCACTTCTGAGAAGGAAACTACTTCTTCTTCCTTGAATGTCCATGGTGGTTTATATGTCGCACAGTTCAGTTGACAAAAAAACCCAGTCTTCAATTATATAGTTTCAAATATACTTTTAGGGTTTTATTGTTATTCTGCGATCGCACTGGATGCCTAAATATGAAGCACAACATGATGCTTTCCCCTTCTGCTGCTGTGATTCAGACCACATGAAGTCTTTGATGTGAGGCATCTTGCTTAAGCTCTGTTTTTTAAACAGTGGTCTCTAGTGTTACAGAAATAATGCCATGGTAATGTAACCTTATGCCTTTCAACCTTTTTAATACATTTAAACATATATTTATGTTTTTTCCTTCTGCAGACTCAAGACAATATAACAGTCAGGTGGGACCTGGGGCTGAATAAAAAGCGGATTGCGTATTTCACTCTGCCCAAGACGGACTCAGGTGGTAATTCTCTGCGTTTGACTTCCTCCCAGTGGTTCTGTGGTACAGATAGAGCCCCTCCCCATCTCCCATCAGTCCTGAGAATTGCACGCAATCTCCCCAAACCTTGCATCTTTTGGTGGCATGTGTGCTTGGTTTTGTTTTTGCCGCTGTTTTTGTAATGTGTTTTTTTTGTGCGTGCACGGTACTGTATCATTTGGTTTATGAACATAGCCCATCCTCCCCAGTTTATTCGTAGGGCATTTTGAGCATAGAAGTGTGTCTAACTTGTGTCCGTGTATCAATCCCAGATATGCGGCTGATGCAAGGTGATGAGATCTGCTTGCGGTACAAGGGAGACCTGGCCCCTCTGTGGAAAGGCATCGGTCACGTCATCAAAGTCCCTGACAGTATCCTTCACACTGTTGGCAGTTGCACATGTATCCATTTGTCATTATATTGTCTCCTTCAAGAGTTTTCAGTCATAGAATACACACTGGTCTCTCCTCATCTCCCACCGCATTCAGTGTGAACCCAAAACCAGGATAGGCTCATTGTACAGGCACAGAGTCCATGTGGCAATGTATAGATTTAAAGGGATAGTTCTGGTGTTTTTCAGTGGGTTTGTGTTAGGTACTTATCCATCGTGTGTTACTGAAACAGTGAAACTTCAGTGTCCTGTTGAAAAATGTTCTAAATATAGTGCACACGAATCCCTTTTAACTATAAAACTATGCTGGTAGAGACAACATAATGTTTACTTCCTTAACAGCCTGTGTTTAAAGACTATGGGGATGAAATTGCCATCGAGCTGCGTAGCAGTGTTGGAGCACCTGTGGAAATCCCTCACAACTTCCAGGTTGACTTTGTGTGGAAGTCCACGTCCTTTGACAGGTAGGCCCAAATTTATACCAACAAATCCCTAATTGTTGTTCATCACAGCTCATTGTATTACTCTACATTATAGTATGTCATTTTCCCCTCCCATCAGCAGTGCACAGAACTAAGTTGTTTGCATTGTTTACAGGAGCTACTTTTGTGTAAATACGCCATGTCGATCATTTCTAAAGTAGAGATGTCTGTCCTTACCAAGAGGGTGAATTTGGTCAGAGGTTCAAAGATAAAGAAGTGACGATGACTGACATTTGTGTTGATGCAGGATGCAGAGCGCCCTGAAGACTTTTGCGGTGGACGAGACCTCCGTGTCTGGTTATATTTACCACAAACTGCTGGGCCACGAGGTAGAGGATGTCACCATTAAGTGCCAGCTGCCAAAGCGCTTCACTGCCCAGGGCCTGCCCGACCTCAATCACTCACAGGTCAGACCTCACTGTGATGCATCTTATTATTTTGTCATTCATTTTCTCCAAGATTTGACAGCGGGGGGAAATGAGTTGAGTTGTTTACTGTTTACTTTATCACATACATCAGTGTATCAATACAGCTCAGCTATTTTTAATAGGTTTGAAAAACGTGACTTAGTAGGACAAGCATTCTTTCGAGCGGGCAAGAAACCCTCTTTTTTTTGTTACTTGTTCAGGTGTACGCTGTGAAGACGGTGCTGCAGAGGCCTCTGAGTCTGATCCAAGGACCTCCGGGCACCGGGAAGACTGTCACCTCTGCCACCATCGTCTACCACTTGTCCCGACAAGGCAACGGGTAAAAATGTTTTTTCTTTTTCATAAATACTTAAAGAAATCTGTTATTATTTTTGTTATTCCACCAACTGTATTTCACATAGTGTTAACTCTCTATGTTGTGCATGTGTGCGTGTCTGGTTGCAGACCAGTTCTGGTGTGTGCTCCCAGTAACATTGCCGTGGATCAGTTGACGGAGAAGATTGACAAGACTGGACTGAAGGTCGTCAGGCTTTGTGCCAAGAGTCGGGAGGCCATCGAGTCACCGGTATCCTTCCTGGCTCTGCACAACCAGATCAGCAACATGGACAGGTCAGTGGCTCGCAGGGAAATTGACTCTGGACTCAAAAGTTATTGATACTTGAATTCTGCTTTGTACAAACACTAGTCACACCAGAGGCGTGGCTCTCCATAGTCACTTTTACCTCAAACTTCACCAAGTTCTCTTACTCGTACTCTCTAGTCCAGATTCCTGCTACTTTTGTTGTGTATTGTCTCATTGACACATGTGGTCTGTATCAGGAAGCGAGTTCAACATACCCAGGTTATCTTTTGGTTATCTGGCTTAACTCACCGTAACAACCGAGATCCCGCCAAACGGTCCCACGAAGCGTTTCTCAATCTGGTTTTGAGCGTGTTTGCAGCATATGGACAAGTCTGCTGTCAGCAGAGGAGCGCATTTTACAAATTAAAGAGAAAATTGTAATATCGGACAAATACGTGAAAGTTTAACATGTAATTCAGGCTGAAAGTAACACAGTTTAAACTGCCAAATGACTTTTAAGACTCGTGCCCTAGTTCACAGATTAGTTTAGTCGTGTACAACTCTAGAGTGTGTTTTCTGTAGTAACCCTGATGTGTCTTGGTCTCACTAGTATGCCGGAGCTTCAGAAACTACAGCAGCTGAAGGATGAGACCGGTGAGCTGTCATCTGCTGATGAGAAGCGCTACAGGGCTCTGAAACGCACAGCTGAGAGGGAGCTGCTCATGGTGAGGAGCTTTAAAGTGTTGAACCGAAATAGCTCAAAGTTGAAACTCAGCTTACAAAAAGGCCCCGCTACAAGTTTTGAGGCACTGCTGATGCAACAAGTAGTTTCTGCCAAGCATTTTCAAACTGATTATCCTTCTGTATTTACAATATTCTCTGTAGTTGCAGATGCTAAATGTCACTGCATGCTGTGGTATGTACAATGTGTGACAGTAAAAGTAGATTTACCATTCCACCGAATGGTCCAATAAGAATACACTTACAGTTACACACTTATATCTCCATATAGAAACAATTCCATCTGACAGAAGGACAAGTTGTCCTTCACCGCTCTCTCCTGGCTCACTCTTCTGTTTAGTGGTTGTAAATTGTCATCTTTGTTGTCCAGAATGCTGACGTTATCTGTTGTACCTGCGTCGGGGCTGGAGATCCTCGTCTGGCCAAGATGCAGTTCCGCTCCATCCTGATTGATGAAAGCACCCAGGCCACTGAGCCGGAGTGTATGGTGCCTGTGGTGCTTGGAGCCAAGCAGGTAGACCTACACGCACACAGCTTAACGCCAACTAATCTCCACCTACTACAGCAGGATAACTCTAGAAGGCCCTAAAACCTAATGTGACCCAGCAATTATCTCTTTGCTAAGTCCCGCCTCTTGAATGCAGACCGGCCAATCGTAGCGTAGCTTCAGCCAGCTCTGACTAGGGTAGGAAAAGTATCCGCCTCTGCTCCGTAGGCTCTCGTGCAATTGTTTTCAATTTGACATCTTGGCTATATTGTAGACTCTTCTGACTGCTTCTTTCAGAGATTGCTATTTGTTTTACAAATAATAAGATAATATTTCTTCAGGGAGTGCAGTTGGTGACAGTGTGGGCTTCATGGTAGCCCTGGCAGTTTGATAGAGTAGCACTGGGGGACGGGGCTCAGCGAAGGGTCAATTGGCCATGTTTTATTTTCACTACAACTGTGAATGAATATCTTAACATTTAAGGAACTTGAAGGTTTTCTGTTGAAATTAGGAGATTCAAGCAGCAAGATACAGTTGGGAATAATAATGAAAAGTAAAAAATAGAGAAGTGTCATAGAAACAGCATTTACTGTCATTTTTAATCAATATCTCAACTTAATTCAATTTATGGCTAACAGTATGAATTAAATCTTGTCGGGTTAAGCAAAAGTATTTTCCCTGGACATCCAGGAACAAAAACGTCTCACGTCATGCTGTTATATTAACCCAACTGTTAAACTTGTGTGACTCATCTTCCTCCTCCCAGCTCATTCTGGTGGGCGATCACTGCCAGCTGGGTCCTGTGGTGATGTGTAAGAAAGCAGCCAAGGCAGGTCTGTCCCAGTCCCTGTTTGAACGCTTGGTGGTTCTGGGGATCCGGCCAATCCGCCTGCAGGTCCAGTACCGCATGCACCCGGCTCTCAGTGCCTTCCCCTCCAACATCTTCTACGAGGGCTCCCTGCAGAATGGTGTCACTGCTGGTTTGTCAAGATTCAGCAGTTCATTATGTTGTTTGATGGAGGAGCAAATAAAACAAAACCATTTACACTTTGGCTGCTACATTAGCAGGTAACAAGATCTGCAAACACTTTTTAAGACTAAAAAAATGTAATTTTCATTTTCTCCTCAGCTGACCGCATCAAGAAAGGCTTTGACTTCCAGTGGCCGCAACCAGACAAGCCCATGTTCTTCTACGTGACTCAGGGTCAGGAGGAGATTGCCAGCTCTGGAACCTCCTACCTTAACAGGTAACGTCACACATTTTCTTTGCCTAATTTACCTCAAAGCTCTAAATAATTCATAATATATGAAGTGCATTGACGACATTGGTTGGGAAAGGGTTATCTGAAGCCAAACACTAGGGGGTGCTCTCCTACAGCCGTCGCATCAAAACCAGTGTGGCTTAAATAGTTGCAATAACTTGATCGTGGAGAAAGCCCTCCGCTTGTCAGTCACGATCAACAGGAACGCTGAGCTCAACCCCACAGAACACAGAAAGGGGATTTCCTTTAATCAGGATCACAATTTTTGTTAAATAATCTTCGGTAATTCGTAAATGAACCTAGTTGAAGGGAGGCTGGAATTCCAGGGAAGCAAGATTAAACTGGTGCAGATATGCGTTTGTACCTCAGTATTTTATTCAATTTAATTAGTGCTTGAAAGTTGCATCAAACTCACCCAAACAAATGCATTTAAGCACCTTTAGCAAGTAAAATAATCCTGATCCTTACTTTTGCAGGGTTTGCAAAGTTGAGGCACCATAGAAATGTTTAAGCTACCATTAGTCTGCTCCCATTAACTTCAGATGCAACTTTCAGAAGACTAAGCAGCACCGTATTTATGTGATGCTGATGTGTTTAAGGACGGAGGCTGCAAACGTGGAGAAGATCACCACCAGGCTGCTGAAGGCTGGAGCCAAACCCGACCAGATCGGCATCATCACCCCGTACGAGGGTCAGCGCTCCTACCTGGTCCAGTACATGCAGTTCAGCGGCTCCCTGCACACCAAGCTCTATCAGGTAGCACACACATCTGAGACACGCTCCTCATTAGAGCTGTATCAAATTCAACTCGATTTCTAAACTTTAACTGTTGTTGGTGAATTCTATCTGTGGTGTTGAAGAACATCCGTTCCTCTGTGCGTACGATGCTATCTCCCCCCTCATCCGGCTCTTGTTCCGTCCCATTATAGCAAGTGGAAATTGCCAGCGTGGACGCCTTTCAGGGCAGAGAGAAGGACTTCATCATCCTTTCTTGTGTTCGTGCCAATGAGCACCAGGGAATTGGCTTTCTGAATGACCCACGTCGTCTCAACGTGGCGCTGACCAGAGCCAAGTAAAAAGCTTCTTGATGATAACTATGGCACAGCACAAATCAGATATTTCAGAATACTTTAAAGAGTGTCATTCAATACAAAATGTCTACCCCGTCCCTAAGCAGCAGTCTTGTGTGTGCTCTGAATGAAGGTACGGCGTGATCATTGTGGGAAACCCCAAGGCCCTCTCTAAGCAGCCGCTGTGGAACAACCTGCTGAACAACTACAAGGAGCAGAAGGTCCTCGTGGAGGGTCCCCTGAACAACCTGAGGGAGAGCCTCATGCAGTTCAGCAAGCCCCGCAAACTGGTCAACACCATCAACCCTGTGAGTGGAGCAAACTGCTGTATGTGCACCCACCATGCTGTGGGGCAAACATTTGAAGACATTTACTTGGACTCTTTTTAAAATATATATATATTATATAATCTAAATAATTGTTTGTTGAGCATAATCTGAATTATGCAGCTGTATGAAATGGTGATGATCTGTTTTTTCCAGGGGGGACGTTTTATGAGCACTGCGATGTACGATGCCCGTGAGGCCCTCATCCCCGGCTCTGCTTACGACCGCAGCAATGCTGGTATTCATTTAATATGTATTTAGTATCTTCTGGTTTGACTCAAGATAATAACAACAAGCTGCATTACAGTCCAGCAAAACAAGGCCTGCCTGGTCTTGTTTTCGTCGTTAAAAAAAACCAACAACCTGATGTTGAGTGTTGTGCACGCTCTCTTTCAGCCGGACGTCCGTCCAACATGTACTTTCAAACTCACGACCAGATCGGGATGATTGGGGCAGGCCCCAGTCATATGGCCGCTATGAATATTCCCATTCCCTTCAACCTGGTGATGCCACCAATGCCTCCGCCCAGCTACCTGGGTCAGACCAACGGCCCTGCTGCAGGTACAGTACAGCACTGAGATGGTTGACTGAGCCATCGCATAAAGTGGAAATAAGAACACTTTGGTCCAGTTCGTTAGAGTGAAAAAGTAATCGAGTCTCACTTACAGTAGAATACCCCGTTATGCAAGGTTGATCAGGCTGTGGAGGGAAATGTGGACACCTTTTAATGTTTGAAAATAAGATTATCATTAAATGAACTGAGGTAAACTACAGGGTGGACTGATGTTACTTCTTCATGTGGTGCTATGTGCTATGAACTTGATCAAAAGTACAGACCATCCACAAGTAACAGGGACCAAATCACTTTCACACCCTGTCTTTAATGTCCACCAGCAATAAGCCCAAGCTTTACTTCCTCTTCCATCTAGTGTAAATACCATGTTATGACCTTAAAATGATGCTTGTTACTATGTTGTTGTTGTTGTTTTTACTCCGGTGCTGATCTTTTGGTTTTTTTTTACCCATCGAGGTCGTGGAGCTATGAAGGGTAAGCCTGGGCGTGGCGGGCGGCAGAGGGTCCGAGGATCGGCACACCAGGGCGCCAGTCAGGGTAACGGACCAAACAGCCAGGCCAGCCAGGACGGGGCCTCCCAGCCCTTCTCCCAGGGGCCGCTGACACAGGGCTACATCTCCATGAGCCAGCCCTCCCAGATGAGCCAGCCTGGCCTCTCCCAGCCGGAGCTGTCCCAGGTATCGCATCACTGCCACATATGATTGTGTGATTTTCAATGCCAACGACTGCCGCATATGATTAATTCTGAATATTGACTTCAAAATGTGTCTGCAATGATGTTTCTGTCCTCCTGTTCTCCAGGACAGCTACCTGGGCGATGAGTTCAAGTCCCAAATCGACGTGGCTTTGTCCCAGGACTCAACTTACCAGGGTGAACGTGCGTACCAGCATGGTGGGGTGACTGGACTGTCACAGTATTAAAGTGTAAGTACATAGAACGTGTCGTGACGCATATTTTTACTGAATCTAGGCCAATGACAATCGGTAGTATAACCTTTTTTTCATACTGTTAAACTGTAATTAATCAGCGGTTCACATGACTCACTTGTATTGTTCTATATCCAAAGTGCTCCCACGCTGCCGAATTAAGGCATTGAATTCCTTATTTTCTTCCACTGGAAGAGCTCAGGTCTCTGCTGACGGCAGTATTGCTCGTTTCTTTTGAGCCAAATCTAAAGTTTACGTTGTAGACAAAGGGTTATAAACCTGTTTGTGTCTTGCAGGTCACTTAAAGAAGGGAGCTAGGCTTGACCTGAGCTTAGTTCATCAGCTTTTTAATCTGGGAAATAATAAAAACATAAAATGGATACCTGTTTTCCTCTGCTACAACCGAAGCACCACCGAGTGAAAGCGACGGGATAGCGAAACCAAACCAATGACCAGCGAGAGAAATGAGAGGGTAGGAGACGAGGAGGGCACGAGCAGACGGGCATGGCGATGGCGAGAGAGGCCGAGTGAACAAGCGAGAGGCAGGGACCGATGCCCGGGCAGAGTGAAGGAAGGGAGTCGAGAAGATGGCGGCGTGTGGTCGAGCTGCTGAGGGAAACGTAGGGGAGATCTCAACGGTCTCTCGAGGGAGTCCAAATGAGGAACAACTCCCAACAAAATAATTCAGCCAACCCCTTCAACCCACCGCCTCCAGGAAAGGAAGGATCTCATCTTCAGATGGAGGTCGAAGCTTTCTAGCTGAATTTGAAGAACTTGTTCTCCAAAACTTGCAGGGGGGACGATGATAGAACGTCATCGAACAGGAAACACAAAATCCTCATGCTAAAAGTCGGTTGGTTTCTTAACCTGTATCTCTTGAATTTGGTTTATCACGGGAGGAGAGCGGCCCAAAAAACCCTCGGCAGCCTCTGAAGGAAGCGGCAGTCGACACACCTTCTCGGAGAGGAAATAAAAACACGGTTTCTGTGCTTGAGTCTGAGATTAAAGAGCCTTGAATTGAACCTTTCATTTGCCTTGAGAACCACTGGCTCATTCACGAGGTCTTTAACGGGGCGGTTTCCACCACATGTCAGTGGCTGAGGGGCACCGGGATTTCAGACTGTTTTTCAAGGCATGACGCGCAAATCCCACCGATATCGTGACCGTCATGGGACAGTTTGTTCTTCTCTGAAGTACCTTTCTTATTACAGAGCACAAAGTTGCAAATAAGTCATTGAAACTATCAAAAACGACCAGCATTGAATATTCAACTCGATGTCTTTTGATGTTTCAGCGGAGGCTTATCTTTATTTTAATCTTTTGGAAGCAGGGGTCATTGATGTCCTGCTGTGTACGCTTAGATTGGCAAACGCTTGAATGCTTTGCGGTGATTGATTACTCAGGGGATTGTGGACTGTTCTCACTCACACAACTCCCTGCTCGAGGTGAAAGAAACCAAACAAGAAGAGGAAAGCAGGAGGATGGCGGTCGAGGCTTACAGGCGGGTCGTGGCAATCAATCCACCAGAGGTGAGGAGTAGGAAAAAGGAAGGTGGCTGAGGAAGAGAAGGATAGGAGTTTCCACATCTGGAAAATGTCGAGGGAAACATGTGGCTTTAGGACCGTGAAGTCCCAATACGTGACCACAAATTAGATGTTAACCTAGTGTCATTTCACACAGCATTTTGATTTTGTGAATAATGTTCACGATGCGCAATATAGCCAAGCTGATGGCCATGTTGTCCAGCTGCTCAACTCTCGAGATAATCGGGGTTTTGAAGAATTATGGCTTTTACAAATGAGAAAAATATAGAATCTCAACACGACCAATGTGATCTGAAAGATCTTTGGTTCCTGTGTGGATGAAACTTCACTGAACCCCACTTAAACACAGTGAATATACCATCAGTTCTGATTACATGATGGCCAGCAGATAAAGGAAAAGTGAATGAGAAACCTGAATCAGTGCCTATAACCAATCACCTTCAGATAAACAGCTGCAGCACAAGCATGAATGTAGTTAAAAATCAAACTACCAGCATAAACAAACCTTCCAGACATCAGAGGGCTCAACCAAACCCACAGAAAAGGACTTGATGTATTTTATTTTTTTATATAATATCGGGCCGGGTAGAGATGAGGTCAGTGAGTTTGCAGCTGGGTTGTTCCTTAAAAGGCTGGGCGGATGAAAAGACAACAACAAAGCCACCTTCCTTCCTTCTGTGGAGTAAAACGAAAGCTGGTAGAATTTATTTCTCCTTCTGTGGACTTTTGATTTGTGCTAAGCTGTTCTGCCTGCATTATGTATTCCTTGTAGATTTATGTGGATCCTAAACCCTTTCCCTGAAGAACTGTGTGAACCTGAACCTTCAGTTTGATCCAAACTTTGCTTTTGTCGAAGGATTCGCCGCTTTGTGTCACATTTTGTCCTGATCGGTGTTATTTAGCCATTTTGTGTAGTTTTACTAAAAAATCTGTTATTGTAGCAACTTGCTGACAAACAGGAAAGAGGCGGACGCCGTTTCCTGTCTTCACGAGTTTTGTATCTTCTCCTCGAACTCTCCGAGGGATTGTAGTTTTCTTTTTAAATTCTTCCAGGAAAGACGCTTTCTGAACACAGAATGTACTCCACTGTTTCTCATTTCAGCAGACATGTGACAATCATGTTGTAAGTAGATGTTTCCATGTTTAATTGACTTAGTAATAGTTCAGTTTTGTTGACATTGTGCGAATCACTCTTTAGTGCGATGAATTAGTTTCCCATATAAACCCGTTCCACTGAAATCCTAACATGTTATAGCTTTAAGAACCTGCTGCCGTAATATTATTGCTTTGGTGTTTTCTTTCCAACTTCTGAGCCACAATGAAATGCAACATCTGCAGTGATCATTGAAGACGTGATTCAGTTGTAAAGTGGTTGTTAAACATTTGCATCCAAACCCTTCATTCTGGCAACATGCAGGGATCGAGCGCTCAGCGTGACGTTTCGTCACGTGATGGTGGCTCCTTGTTAAACTGAATCAATAAAGGCTGTCAATTGGAGAAGTTTTCATGGTGTGAAATTCAGATTCTAATTTATTTGCAGATGCTCACAAACAAAAACACAAGGTATTGTACAGTAATATAACTTTTAGTATATACATGGGTTACAGCCCATTTCAGGCTGTTTTCTGTGCTGCCTTTTTCTTCTGTCTTCTCTGGGCCAGTTTGTTCTTCAGCTGTCCATGTTTCTGTTTCTCAATGCTCTCATGGATTCTCTGTTTAAACACTTTCTTCTGGCTCCGGATCTTCTCCAGCTCGGCCTTCCTCTTAGCCTCCAGGTCTGGATCCTGAGGAAACGGCATGATCACAAATCAGCAGGAAAATTCAAGTCCTTGGCTACAAATCGGATCCTCGTAGCGCTTTAGTTTGTACTCGATATATTTTTCCCCACACTTTTACAGATTGATGTTTGCTCAAAAGTGAAGAATTAAAGCCTGTTACAGTCTGATAATCAGACTGAATTACCACTTTCTATTTGTACTGCTGAGCAAATGGAGATGATGCAGCGATCTGGAACCAGTGTAACAGAAACTGCTCTCATTGGAACCACATTGACATCAAACAAAGAGCCGGAGACACCCTCATTTAAGTTGTGTTCAATTCACTGTTAAAAGCTGTTTCCTGAAAACAACTTTTGCACGTTCAGCTGAAGAAGTGTAATACATTATCACTTTAACTACTGCCACATACTTTACAAAAACATGAACATAAATGTACAGTTACTATAAGTTCCTCTTGAGGAAATCACAGGAGCGTAACAAACTGAACTTGGTGTTTATAAATTAAACTCGACTTTGCTAAAATGTGCCAGCTGCCTGGTACAAAAAAAAAAAATGCAAATGTTTGGCTGTAAAAAGAAGGAAGAAGAATTGAACTTACCTTCCCCTCCAAGATCAGCTGTTTCCTCTTGTTGATTTCCTTTTTCTCATCAAAATCTGTTGCCTCGAGTTTCTACGACACAAAAACATGTTCGTGAGAAGATCCGGTACAAATAGTGTCCAGTCTGAAAACTACATGACTGAGGACTAAGTCAAAGAAAGGTAAATGCTGAAAGATTCAACTAACACAAACTGTGGTGCACTAAACTACCAAGAGGTAACTCAATATGTCCGTACTATTTCACACTCCCGTCTGGTCACATTGACCTGGGTGAGGATCTTCAGGACTTCTTTCTCCACCACAGGATATTCCTTCAGCTTCGTCTCTGTGGAAACACAACAGACCAGATGACATTGAGACACATCACACTTTAACACACACTGGGATCCGGTACTTTCCGCTTCTTGGGGTTCCTGGTAGCTGGTTACGGTGAAGTAATTGTGTTGTGATCTGGTCCAGGACCTTAACACACTGTCTCAAAGGCTTCCTGTCACGTTCAGTTTTGTAATATAAGCCAACTATAAATAATTAAACATTTACGTATGAGGAGCTACTCGCCATATTGATGATTTAGAAGTGAACGCGTTAACATGATTAGAAGAAGAGCTGGATAAATAAAGAAGAACATAGGTATAAAAAGGCACCAAGCTGTAAAATGCTGGTGATCTTTCACTAACCAACTATCTCCCCGTTAGGATCTTTTGTGAATGAACAGTGGATTTTCTACAAGCTTTATTTCCAGTAGAACAGATGTTCTCACTGCAGCCACAACTAAAAACGAGCTGGCAGTTCTCTCTCGAGTTCTGAAACCACTTGTTCACTGGTCTTGTCCTGTTCACCACATTTTAATTCAGTCTTTACAAGCAGACAACTTACTAATCAGTCCTTCGATGGAGTGGACCAGGTGGATGTCGTACTGTGTCACCAGAGTGACGGACACTCCATTCCTCCCTGCAGAGGAAGAAAAGCTCGTCATGTATCAGCTGCATGTTTTAGACGTGATATGGATGATGTTGGGCGTTTCTGATTTTATCACAGTTAAGATTTACGAGGAAGTTGATAAAAAGGTTACCTGCTCTCGCTGTTCGTCCGACTCTGTGGATGTAGATCTTGGGGAGGCCGGGGGTGTTGTGGTTGATGACGACCTGGACAGTTGGAATATCCAAACCCCTGTGAGTCAGAAAGAACAGGAGGGATGTCAAAACAAGTTGACTGTCTACATCTGAAACTGTGTGACAACTTGAGGAAAAATTGACGGATATTGAACTTTTAAAAAGGTGTGAAAATGAAGACTGCCGTCATCCCCGTCAGCGGAGCTTCTTACCTGGAAGCCACGTCTGTCGCAATCAGGATTTTGAAGACGCTGGCCTTGAACATGGCGAGGTTTGCAAATCGTTGTTTCTGGTGAAGATAAAGAGTTCATGCTTTAATCTCTATACTATCACACAGGCTTTGTGCTCACTGAACATTTATGTCCCTTTAATGAGACAAAAAATGATTTTTACATCCAACACAAGCTTGTCAAGGAGCTCTGAGGACGGGCAATAATGAACACGTGACCAAGTTGAAGGAAATCTGTGCTCACATCGTTCCCTCACACAAAGCAAAGTCAAATTCTTCGTCTATGCAAATTGAGATACAGCCTCTCTGATACTTGGTCAGTCATAAATCTAAAAACTACCTTCAGCAGGCCTCCGCTACTAAAACTCACTCTTTCTCTGCGACCAGGCAGCTGCCAGCGTCACAGGATTAATGAAGTTAGGAAGTTGCACTAGTCTCACCTGTTTCATCATGGAGTGCAGGCAGATGGTTGGAAAGTTAAATTCCCGCAGCATCATGGTGAGGATTTGGCAGTTTCTGTGCAAGAGACAGACAATCATTTCATGTAATGAACATGTGAACCCAATCTACAACAACATTTACATGCACAGAGAGGTTTCAAAGACATAGAAAAATATATTTTCACCTTGTAAGCTGAATTTCTATCCACCTGCATGCTATAGGCAGCGTACCAATCACAGTCAAAAACTGCCACCTCAGCAATCATCGTATAGTACGAGTTGAATCAACAGCATACTCTCTTTAGGGTAAGACTGTCCGGGCATGCACTGTATAAGGTATTTAAATTATTCTGGGCTTCTTACTTGCACGTGTTGGTGAAGATCATGATGGACCAGTCGTCATGCTCGTCAGTAAACGTCTGGATCAGGTGGACCAGGTAGGCGTCCTTCACCTTCTCTGGAGTGAGGATGTACCTCTGGTCCAGCTCCTCCACTGTTTTTGTCCTGTGAACAACAATATTTCAATGTTCCCTAAAGATAGATAGATAGACTTTCTGTTGCCTCAGAGGTCAGAGGTCATAGTACAGAACAGAAACCCTGAAGCTGGTATTGATTCAGGGGAGGGGATTATAATGTAACTTTGACGAGTGTAATGATCCAATCAGAATGCCTTCATATTCATCATGAGCAGGGAACAAGTGGGAAGCTGCTCCACGGCACTCAAAAGCCTTTGTGCTGCAGTCATGTTGAGTCATTTTTCTTCCCTCATCAAAAGGTGAGAACAATGAAATCAAGCAGCGATCTTGTTTTGTTCTGCACCCACTTTTATTACATTATCTGTTCACACCGGATACACTTGCATGAGTTCGTAGCTGCTTTCTGCATGTCTGAACCCTGCAGAGGGTCTGAGCATTGGTAAACCCAGCAGAACTCTCATTCAACCACACTTAATTCCCATTATTTGCACGACTCTGCCTCACATCCAAAGGCATTTGTGCGAGAGACACGCTTCAGTGATTAGCTGCACCTCAGATCAGATGACAGGCAAACTGATTTTCCGGGCCGGTGCTCCTGTTTTATAAATATCACGCAAGATTTCTCACAAAGAATGCATCTGAAATGAGGCACAAAAACTTCCACCGTTTTTAAGGAAAGGACCTGGAATACGTAGTTCTATACCAACAAATACACTGAATACACTTCTGCAAACAACGATTAAAACATAGGTCAAAGTGAGACCCGTAACGCTCTGTGAATTTGCAAAATATTTCTAATAACAGCTGTTAAATGGCAGCAGGTTACTCACTCCGACGTGCTCTCCCAGAAGAAAGGTTTGTTCATGGCGATGTTCTTCAGCTCGTGCAGGGTGTCAGTGAGCGTGGCGCTGAACAGCAGCGTCTGCCGTTTAGCCGGTAAAATCCCCATGATCGTCTCCAAATCTTTGGTGAAGTCAGTACAGCCCTGCTCCAACAGCCGGTCCGCCTCATCCAAGATCTGACAAACACACAAAAACCATGTTACAAACCGTATGAAAAATTATACACAAATAAATTTCTTTAAAGGATTTTGTTGTAAACTTAAAGATACCTGTTAACTGAGCAATATTATGTTCATTAGCTGTTTAAAAGACAGCAATAAACGATATATATGATAATCTAGGGTTCCATAGGGTCTAAATATAAAAAAAGCTCAGTATCTTCTGAAGTGTATGAGGAAAAAAGAAGCATTATCTTGCACACACAGACTTCTCCTCTGCATAATAATGTATTTATATCCGGGTATTCCTAACATAACCTAACAGACGTTAACTATATGAGAGCTGTAGCAGAGACAAGGCGTTGAAACCGGCGGTCCTTCCTGAACTCACCAGAAACTGGATCTTGCTCATGCTGAAGGTGCTGGAGCTGCGGATGTGATCGGCCAGCCGTCCGGGCGTCGCTACGACCACATGTGGTTGGTTGGTCAGCTCCATGGCCTGACTCACCATGTCTGTGAGAAACACAACAGCAGCATCAGCACTGAGGAGAGGCTCAGATGTAATGTAGCAGTAACTAGCAGCAGTTGTTCATTTAACTTTCTGCAGCAGCAGGGCAACGACGGGGCTTTAAAACTCAATCAGACGCTCGTAATAAATGATTACCCATTCCACCGACGACGATGCAGTCTTTCAGACCCAGCGGTTTCCCCAGCACTCGAAACTGCTCTGCAATCTGATAGGCGAGCTCCCTGCATGACACCACACATACAACAACATCAAAGCTATTCATCCTAACTTGAGGCTTATTTTTAGGTCTCACATGCCAAGGACTTGACAATTAAGATTGTTCAGCTTAGGGCCATTGTGCTTTTATTTTGAAGCTAACCTGTGTGTACCACTTGTGTTTTAGATCACAAAAACATTTCATCTTAATCAACATCTGGAAATGACACAGCCTTACATGACCAGTAGTGAAAAGGAAGAAGACCCATTAAATAAACAAGTCTATGGAAGATGGAGCTTTCTTTAAAAAATAAAAAATAGCAGAGTTCCCATACCAGCCCAGCACTGACCTGGTAGGAGTGAGCACCAAGCAGAAGATGCCATACGGGTCCTCGGACAGTTTCTGCACCACTGGAAGCACAAAGGCTGCTGTCTTCCCACTTCCGGTCTTAGCACAGCCCATACAGTCCCGACCTGGGAGGAGAAGCACCGTCATTCATCTGCTCTAAAGTCTGGTTTAACGACTTACCGTGTGGTAACTTCAGACGATTAAACTCAAAGTATTACAATACTTTCCTCATCATGGGAGCTATCCCAAACTGATCATGTATTGTTGCTTTGCTGATCTACAAACTCACACACCTTGAAGATCATCACTTTTTATGACAAATTCAGCAGCAGTCAGATCAGGAAAACAACGCATTTATAGTTGTAGTTGACCACTCAACTAGTTGATACCTTTATCAATGGAGCTCTGCATTACTTCTCGTCCAAAAGTAGTCCAGAAGATGTCAACATTACAGGTAGATGTGATGTGTTTAACCTGACGAGTGAGCGGAGGCGGTCTTACCTTCTAGTATAGCAGGCATGCAGTGTTCCTGGACGGGAGTGGGTTTGTTGATTCCCAGCTGTTTACACTGTTTAACCAGCCAGTCCGCGAGACCCAGCGACGAGAAGTCCGACATGTCTAATTGACCTCGTCCTCTGGGTAATAGATGAATAGTTCCGTGTACCTAATTTCACAGAATGTTAGCTGAAATACTCTATTTAAACACAGTACAGTAAAACATCCTCGTGTGTGACACCGATAGTCGCAGTATGATTACGTAACAGTACAACGTACGTATTTGTCTTCTTCTCCAAGTTGCGGCCGGCAGACTGGAGGTAGCGCATGCGCGGTGATGCCCTCTGCTGGTCACATGTGGGATGAAACGAGTATGTTGTTGGCCCTGCAGACATTTTGAACGTGATGTCAACCAAAGTTTTACTTTAATCATATATTTTGATAGGCTGACCCCATATTTATTCATAAATCAATTAGCTCCTTTTAACTTTAACTTTCAACTGTATTAGGTTAGTATTTCAATGAGGTCACATAGTACATCCTTTACTACAGGCCTTTGGATGTCCTGGCCTAATATATTTGACATAAGTAAAAGTAGCAAAACCAAAGTCTAGTAATACTCTGCATAATTTACTTTTTGTTAGGTTTTGAATGATCTGAATCTGAATCTGAGTAACTCGCAAATAAAGTTCATCAAAAAAAAATGTAGTGGAGTACAACATTTTCCTCTGAAATGTAGGAGTATACGTATAAAAAAGTAAAAAGTAATTAAAGTAGTGAGTTGTTTGGAAGTTATGTACCTCAAACTTGTACTAAAGCACAGTACCTGAGTAAATGTACTTTCTACCACTGGCCTGGTCTTGTAGAGCCCTAACACCTCACCTTCAAGCAAAACGGTGAATATGAATATGCACCCTGACGACATATGGCCTACTTAAGCCAAGTTAGTTTTGGGGCGGGCTCGGGATTACAGGATCTGTTGTGCCTTGTCATTTCAATATAAATTGATATTGTAATTTAGTGCTGGATATTCATAAACAATCGTGCAATTAATCAAATGACCACACAACATTCACTAGGTGTTGCTTTTTGGCACTTGTCAGCTTTGCCCAGTTGGTGATCTAGCCTTGTACGACACATTTACCCCTCCACAGTTCTCTCCCTCTGATCTGGTTCAGCTTGTCCTGCCCTTCAGTGCTGCAGCACCATAGGAGGCAAAACCCACAGCTTTGATAAATGCACCTGCTTATCTGCTCCTGTCCTTTCGCTGTGATCTTTTGTTCAGTGCACAAAATTAATTGTTGTTATTTGTGATACAGAAAATATGGGAACATATTTGAGGAAAAGCAATTGACACTGTCTTCTATTCTGTTACACCCACGTGTATTAGCCTACTAAACTGTTGGTAGAGTTTATTTTCTTAACCACAAAATGACCTCTCAGTCATTTGATAGAGATTGTATTTATTTCTTATCATTATATAATTTCCCAAACAAAAAAAAGCCCAAACATGTCAGTGATCTTTATTCAGCAATTATCAAGAGGTGGCTAATGTTTGTTATGGGCTTAGCCTCCTGGTCTGGATGGATATTAACCCTGAACTATCACCATAATTAGTTTTCACTGACCGTCTGTTCTTTCCTGCTGATATCACTGATGTGTCCCCCTGGCTGATCTGAAATAATTAGGCTTGAAGCACCGTCTGATTTTCATGAAGCTTATTTGAACCCGTTGGTCTGACATTCAGGAATTACTGAAGGAGGATTGCACTCACAAGCTTTTTTTTCCAGACTAATTGCAAAGGAGCTTCCTTAACTTTTTTAACCATTTAAGATTTGATTCTCTGTCCAGAATATATTTCCAATGTAGATGATGCCGTTTTTGCCACATCATGTCGGTCTTTGTCTTTCTGTCCAACCTGCAACAGTGAGCACTGCGAAGACACTGTGAGTTTGATTCAGCCGCTGCTTGACTTGGACAAAGAGAGAAACATTTTTCCAACGAGACCCATCTGTGTGTGCACATTGGGGCTGCCAGAGGTGATTACTACCCTTTGCGTTAAAGGCAGAGGCCTGGAGGTTCAGCTCCGTCCTGCCCAGACCGTCCAGCTGTGTTGCAAACTGCCTCGGACCGGCTGAGAAGTGTCTCTCTAAATGAGCATGAAGGTTGCTTGCATGCGAGGCAGAAATCTAATGTTCCCTGATGCCTCCCTGCAGCACAGAGCAGCAGTCAGCTGCATCGCTGTAACAGGCCACTGAGCAGCACGATTAGTGCACAGGAGCTGCCCCCATGGCTCTTCCACTACATTTGATGCTCCGCTTTCTCATGTTCACCCCGTATATATGCAATAATTATTTTGAATCAGGGGTGACTTCAAACTAAGGCCTGTATGAATTAATGAGGTGAAATGAGGCAACCTTTTCTCTGCGTGACTCTGCAGTGATTTTCAACAGTTTTTAGGGAAAGTTGTGGAGCTTTAACAAGAAGTAAATGGATGACATGTTGACAATTAGCAGCTCAATGGAAGTTTTACATTCTCAAAATTGCACTTTACAATAACTTGAACTATAATTATCACTATACATTATGGCATTTTTATATCTTTATTCTATATTTAATGTATTTGGGGTCAATTTATATATTCCATACGATGTCAAAATGTACAGGATTTTGTATTTTGTATCATGCATGTGTGTGTTAATGCTTATTTATGTTTCTGACTATAACATGTCAGATCAAGTCAGATTTGTAAAGAAGTTCAAACCTATATGCAGCTTAATAAAACGATGAATTAGATTTCATAAATCTTATGAAATTCAATCAGTGAACTGAGAAAAGACATATGCAAATCATTTTATAAACTATATATACTACTATATATGCTGGAACAATCAAATTGTATTCCCATGACTTTCAGTGTACAGCACTTTGGTTGTGAGCGTATTTCTTTTTTACTTTTTGATTTGGTTTGATGTTCTGTGTGATATTTTAAGGATCCTAATGTGGAGTTTTTCTACAGTTTTGTTTACAGAAATACATCTGCTATCCTTAGTATTATGGGATTTTCAGTGAGATGAACACATGACTGCAGTCATTTGATGACATAATCATTGCTATGAAATATGCTCCTCTGCCTAATGAATAAAATCATTAGACTAATGCATAATGCTTCTGTAGGGACTTAATGTAAATGTAGCACAATTCAATTTAATGTAGCTTTGTGGCAGATTTCCAGTCATATATTTTTTTCTTATCCTATCAACAGCAATATATTTATTTTGCTGTTGATTTATTAGATTGTATCCATCATAGTATGTGATCTGATTACAATATAGCTCTTTATAAACAGATTAATATAGAATAGTATCTGATTTAACGTGAGATCAACACAGTCAGTGGGTGCAGAATTGTACATCTGACTGATTATTTGCTGAGGCTTTAATTTTAAACAACCATTTGGATTCTGTTCTTCCACCAGTAATTTCAAATGCTTCAAGCTTTTATTACGCTGCACCTCATAAATACGCACCGAGGGGGCTTTTAAGACGTCCGCAGGCCATTTCCACATGTAGCCTACTATTTCACATTCTGACATTTAAGTGGAGAGTGGGGATAAGAGGCAGAGGGGCCGGGTTTGTAGTTCACTTGTGGCCATCAGATGGCGCTTAAGAGGCTCCACGGTCCCACTGAGAGAGTTGAATTGGATCCCAGTGTGATCTGGCACAGAGGCGGGAAGGGAGCGCAGCACAAGTCCTGGACGAGGTTTGAGCCAAAAGCACTCTGCCGCCCGACTTTTATCGACATTCCTCTGTCTGTCCGGCCTGCAGGACTGAGCCAAACGATTCACGGTGCGTAATTACGCATCCGCGGTGTTTTTCGGCGTGGAAACCCGCGGACAAAGGAAGACAGGCAGCCTGGAGTACAACTGACTTGAGAAGAGAGGAGTACAGTTGGAGAGGAAACAGGGGAGTCTGGAGTCGGAAGTGATTTGTCTTTTTTTTTTTCGGAAATGTAAGTTGAGTCCAGGATTTCGGGGAGAAAGCTAATCCTTTTGCAAACCGAGGAGAAAAGGACAAAAAGTGGAGTGGTGGTGAGTGGAATTAGTCCTCAAACAGCATCCAGATCCTCGGAGCATGGGGTAAGTTAGACGTTTGTGTCTAAAATGTTCAGATCGCCCAGTCCTGCTGTCTGGAAGTGATTTGTTCAAATGGCGAACTGCTTAAAAAGTGAACTTCGCGGTGACTTCTGAGCTAAATAGCACATTTTCTCTCCTTTTTAAGTCAATCGATCAGAATATTACCATCAGTTCACATCTGACACTGCGTTATTTTCTTTGTGTACATTCTGAAAGCCATTACCAAGAGAGGAATCCTTTATTTGTGAACATGTGGGAAGTCTGACGTTTGTTTATACCAAAATAACGTGTGACCGTAAATAGGTCAAATTTACATGCTGAAAGATCATGGCTGCATTACATTTAACTCTGGCGGATACACAGACAATTTAAAATGCATGATCAATCAGTTTATAGTCGTATGAAAAAAGACATAACCAGCTTACTCATGCATCCTGCAGTTAACAAAATTACTGTGATTTCCTGTTCTCTATTCCTCTACTATTTGTATCTCACACACACACACGGGTGCTGCCACTGGATCACTTCCAGGTCGATTGTTGTGCAGGGGATCATGGGTGGGTTTGCTTTGGGAAGCTCTGGGTGTCAAGCTGTGCTCTGTCTCATTAGCTGTGTGTGTTGAATTATACATGCAGGCCTTACGTTTGGTTCAGACACACCTGAACCCTCCTCGCATTACTATCCATGCTGTCAGCCTCCCCCCTCTAGGCCGGTCTAGTGACACTTTAATTGAGATGCCACTCAAATGGCTGAATGTGAATAGTATTAAAGCATCCTCGGTACACATTTCAATGCCTACATTGCTTGTAAAATGCGGTTTTATTATACTCCTATGGTGTATTTACTGACATGGTGGTGTTGAAAAATTAAAGTGGATTCCTTGGGATTTCCAGATTCTTCAGACCTTTTGAAACTGCACAGTGATCCAGCATAATGTTGGCGCTCACCTGCTTGTTTGCTACAAATCGGTTCCTGGATCCCTCAAAAGGCCATTAAGGCCTGTCCTTGGAATTTCCTTAAGATCAGGCTGAACCTATACGTCTCCTCAAATGAGACAAACGGAAGCTAATGGTGTGTTCAGGTGGCCCTCAGCAACTTGTGAAGGAAAATTTCAAACTAGCTAACTAACAAAGTGGTAGATGAAGCATGGGTATAGATGTGCTTAAACACATGATGAATACTTTGCCACAGTGTTCCAGGTTACTGGGAATATATCTGTCTAGTTCCATATTCCAAATGTACGGAGACTGAAGTACTTTAAGATCAACTGTGTGTTGACAACACACTGCTCTTTGCTCTTTGCACTGTGCACCTGAGCACAAATCTGTCAATGGGTCTCTGAGCAACCTCTAACTTCACTACAAGGTCAATGTTTTCATATCTAACCTCCCAGCTTCAATCCATTGACCCAGATATATAGTCTACATGTATGGGACAGACCACGTGGTATCGGCACGTAGTATATCTCTGTCAGACTGGCACTACCTGCTCCGTAACATCTGCAGTCCAGTGTGTTATTGCTGGCCCTTTGACAGTAGCCTCGCCACAAACGTCTGATCTGATGGCTTGTGTTTGATGCTCATACGCTGTCAGAATTTGGGCCGCAGATCAACTCTGCATAATCACTCTGTGGTGAGTTCAATCACCTGGTCCAAATGAAAGTCATGGCAAGGACCCCAGGAGGAAGTTATGGATGTAGTCGCAGGGCCACCATGCACACTGAGACAGGAACCTGCACGACCCTTGACAGATTGAGACAGCATGCACCAGGAAGCGAGCACCGGGAGCAGGAGATTTTCAATTAACAGCCACTTCTGGTCCATAAACATAATGAGTGTGAGTAGGTGCATAAGTGCTCTCATGCTGTCTACAGTTTGTCTTAAAGTACTTAACCATGTCATCTTACCCATGAACGCTGTACAAAAGGGAATATCTCATTTGAAGGAGAGACAGTCTTGATTTAATAGGGATGTTATATTTTTCTGTAACAAGCCTCTGACAGCGTTCATTATTTACAACCTTCAGAATTAAAGAGGTGCACCTGAATGCACCAAATAAACACTTGCAATTGACTACGGCATGCTAAGAGCAGCGAATGATTTATCAGAGGTGTCCTCCACATTTGTCTATAAAAGCAAGCTGCATTTCTTCATCACATTTAAGGACCCTCTGGATCGAGACCACCTTGTCGACCCATTAAGAGCTACTCGCGATATTTGTATAGTGTATTTTGTCAATGAAAGGCTGTGATTCAGGTTATTTTCTCTTAACAGATTATTCACTGATTAAGCACATTTGACCTACACTGAATTGTTTCTAACCTCATTCTAGTTGAGGTTATTATTGGTTTAGCACTTGGTATCAGAAGCCTCTTTATGAGGACTTCACTGAATAAACAGGTGTTTCTACTACGTAACTTGGATCCTCTTTCCTCTTGTGCTGCAGAGGAGTTGTCTGTGAGCTGTAAAATGTTCCCGGTACATCGAGAGAGGTACAAAAACACGCCATCTCTGTGTTGTGGCTCTGCATGACAGGGATGGGCGATAAACTCAAGTTTAGTTTTTGATCTCCTCCCAAATGATACTGAGCATCAAATGACTGTTGTTGGTACCTTCCATCAGCAAAAAGCTGTCTGGAGTACTCATTCATAATTTATGACTTTGTGTGAATATATGTAGATATTATTTGGCAAAAAAAAAAAAACAAGGAAATTTGAATTACAGTAAAATTTCAGTACAAGGCAACTTTTAATGGAAAAGTCAACTTTTTTTAAAAGCATTAAATTGAGTATAAGCCAACACAAAATGCTCTGTTGTATATTTAAGAACACAACATCAGTACTTGTACTGTTGATACTTTGGGGATCAATCCGCCCATCCCTTCTTCATCAAACATTCTTTTGCTACTGAACAAAAGCCACCCTCATCACATCACTGTAATGTCTCTCTCTCCTCAGTACCGGATACTGTGAACTGTAGGATCTGATTCACCCGGGGGAGGTTTCATGCTTGTCATGATGTGCAGATGTTTTCAGCACGCTCTCCTCCTCTTGCTGTCATTGTCTGTTGTCTCTTTCATCGCATCGTCTCCTGTCAGTCGCTCCATTGCAGCTCCACTGTTGAATTCTTAAAACCTTTTAACAGTGCATTGTATTTTGCAAGTTGTTGGTATGTTTTGCATGTCATTCCGTGATTTTCAAAATAATTAAAACCATCAGAAGTGGTGTAAAAAATACTGTGTTTTCCCCCGATATGCAGTGGATTGAAAGTATAAAATCTCAAAATGGAAATCCTCAAGAGACGCATTACATTAAATTGTTTAGCTAATGCTTTTATCCAAAGTGTCTCAGAATAAGTGCATTCAACCAGGTGGATACAAGCCGAAAATATAAGAATCGTGCAAGTCTATCAATTTAAGCAAATATGCTGGACTGCTTCAAGTGACCATATAATCTAACTATAAAGCAAGTACATAAACTAATGTTAGTAGCAGTAGCATCGTTAGTTGTTAGCCTGCTCAGCCATTAGCTTTCTTATCACCGTTACTGTTGTTTTCTTTGTCCGGCTGTTAGCATCGTTACTGATAGCCGCTGTCAGCCGTCGCCACGTCATTGTGCTTAAATTTACTTAACGCTTGTTTAAGGTGCAGTTTTCAATTCTAATATGATGCTAGATAGTTTAATGAATAATATTTAAATTATTTTATATTTGTGATTCAATTCTGAATTTTTAATGTCACCAGCAACGTCTCTCTGTCAGCTAAATGTAGTACGACAATGTTTTCCTCTGAGGCAGAAGTACACACTACGTAGTGTACAGTTGAGTTGCATATTTGTAAAGTTCTTTGGGGGTGTTTTAGTTATTTCAGCGTACAATGACTTAGAATAGTAACATAATTCAATAATGTTCATATCTAAACATAATTATAAATCTCAAACTGTTTGGGGCCCTCTTAGTTGGTGGCCCCAGGCAGTTGCATGTCTTGCCTAACGATTAAATCTGCCCCCAGGTGTTTTTTCCCATGAACCAGAGTATATTTCACTGATATTTCGGAGGATCTGGGTGCGTGACGCAACTATGCCATGGCAGGTGTATTGCTGAGGACCCAAAGACGCGCAGTGTAGAGTGTGAAGTTGTTTCTATGAGTGGTTCTTGAGCACAAGTCCAAGCACAGGCATATTTTGGCACTGCACTAGTTGAGATAAGAGGGCCATGGGCACAGATGATCACTAAATTTGGGTTTTAGAGGGAACATAATCGGTTAATCTTCAGCAATAACTCCATAAAAGCTGTTCAGTGTTTGCGCCTTCCCACTGGCCAAGGAGAAACCAGCTGCTCTGTGGGGAGAGGAGCTTCTTAATTGCTGTTTTGGAGACCTCTGCAATCGCACGAATAATCATCTCGGCTAACTCTCTTTCTGTTCACTTCATTTCACTGTGTTTTATTGGCATGAAAGTAATGATAGTGGCGCTGCGTGATCGAGATGAAGGAACGTCTCGTTTTCTCTGTCTCTCCCTGACCTTCGTGTCCTGAATACAGAAAACACTTCAGCTATGTGCCACCTTCTCAGCGTGAGACCGCAGTAAGTTATCAGTCAGAACAGTTGACCTTCAGATAATTGAAGTGTTGTGCTGTCTTAAAACAGAACCAGAGTTCACATGTCTGGTGTTTTGCCAGGTAAAGGCTTGTGATTGTGCAGTGTAAAAGTTGTTTGGTAAGATGCTCCACATCTTCTGAAGAACTGACAAACATAATCCTTATTTTACTTTTTTACAAAGCTTACTAGTGTGACAACTTTGGCAGCATATATGTTGGGCAGTGGTTTGTGATGCAGATATGGTAACTTGTTGGACGGCTTCAGTTTAAGTTATCGTTTACCCTCGATGTGCTATTTCGGTATGTATTGTAGCGTGTCATGTTGCTGGACTGGACCAGACACTTTCGCTGGCTCAGGAATGTGGACACGAGGGTGTACTCTCAGAGGTCAGAGGAAGCAGACTGCCTAAAAGAGAAACTAAGAGAAACTGCCTAAAAGAAGAAAGAAAAATGTTCTTTCTGTCAGTGCAGTCCCCTGAAGTCCCCAGGATGTAAAACCACAGCAGAGTTCCAGTTTTGTGTTGTCTTAATGCACAGATGGTGAAAAATGATGCTCTGCTGAAGCACTCAGCTGATGCTCTCATTTAGACTGAATTCAACTTTTTTTTTCTTCTTTATTTTTCAAGGCTTATGGTTCAACACGTGTTGTTCAACCTGACAGGCTGAACACGAGTTTCTGTGAATGCTTTAATATTTCTATAGATAACCCCCGTTCTCACCTTCTCATCTATATATTTCTTCTCAATTAGACAGATACTTGAACCTGAATGGGGAAAAAATGTGAGTTGTTGCATAACACCTTCATGAGGTGACTGAAAAGAGAAATGAAATGGTGTTACATTACATGAGACCATTTGCAGTCTTCACAATGTTACATCCCCAGTGTAAGAGCAATATTGCAAAGCTGGCAGCTCAGGATAGTCATATTTTAGGTCTGTTTTAAAACCATATACACATGTCCATAATACATTACAATGTTTTTTGGGTCCTTATTATTATTCCTATTGTCCACATTGGTCATAAAAGATCCCCATCTAAAGCGACTTTAATGAAAGGGATGGGGGATAAAATACACAGACTGATATGAGGCTTCAGCAGTCTGAATAAGTCAACTATTGTTAAGTATTGTTTTAAGACGGACTTTTACCTGCCGCTTTTTTCCAGGTTAAAGTTTTTTTTTTAGAGGGTAGTTTTTCTAAATTGATGCGCTACATATCGTAAAGACCCTCAAGGAAAATTTGTGATTTGGGATTTAAATAGAATTCACTTGACTTTTAGCACACAGAGGTATGATATTAGATTATGTCATATTTTAAATGAATTGTTTAGTGCTAAAAATCTCAGGAACTAATGAAAAATGACCATTGTAAGTGTCCAGGTCATGAAAGACATCCAGATTTCAAACTTTTTACTTAAATAGTTAATTTGTAATCAAAACTGTTGTTCAATTGTCATTTGACTAATCGATTTATTGACATTATTGTCAGGGTTTGTAAAGTTCTTCTTGACGTTGAATTAACTACATTGAGATTACGAGCATCAAAACTGAAGTCAGTTATTTTTTCTGTGGGTGTGATTGATTGCTTCTCTGGTATATGAAATAATCAATCACAATCAGTGATCATTTTTTGTTTCCTCTTCCCCTAAACATGCTCTTGGATATAAACCAAGCCACGAGGAAGAGCGCCACGCTTTGAAGCTAATTTTACATAGTGACCAAACAGTGGAATTACAATTTCCAAGTCTGTCACATGATGCCATGAGGCCCAAAAAGACTTCTTCCCATAAACCTACATTGGGAAAAAGACATCTGTGACTTAGCGGGTATTTTTTTTTTTTAGGTAAATCAATTACCAGTGGGAACACAAGGATAGCCCTTATTTAAATCATTAGGTCCTAAAAGTTATGAAATGCTCTAATAGCTGAATTCAGAGCTATTCTTGCAACTTTGATAGGAATGAATAGGGCGCCGCCTCCGACGCTGTATTCAGTTCTCTTTATACATCCATGGTACACAGAAATGGGCTATATGTATGTATACTGTGTGTGTGTGTGTATAAATGAAAGGAGATAAGATGGCAACAATAGCAGCAGTATTGTGTGACCCTACTACACAATTATCATCACTGATAATTCCCATGAAACTAATAGCTGTGCTTGCTTTGACCTTGTGGACAGCTCCCCCCTCATCAGATCTCATGCAGGCTTCCTGATTTGCTGTTTCAAGTGTGAACAGTCAGCTTTTATGTACAACCAATAGGATTTTTGGCAAGCAAGTTTTGCAGCTTTGCCCTCCCCCCAGGTTATTTACAGCCCGCAGAGCTCAATTATTGGCAGTTTGAGGAGTATTGTCCCAAGTACAGAAGCAATTGGTTGGGTCTGACTGCAGGACCGGACAGGAGGGTGCAGCCTCTGTTTCACAGATGAGAGATTCAGGGTGGTGAGCGGATGCTGCAGTTAAGGGAAATAAGGAGAGCAGTGAGAGAGGATAAGAAAGAGATGACATTGGACAAAGGTACACAGCACCACCATTGCACGTGTGTGGTGGCAACTAGCTACTAAATACGAAATACATTGAACATTTTCTTAATTAACACAAGTTTAGCAAAAGCTGAGATATCAGTTAGAAAATATGAGATTTTTACATATCCAATCTCATCCAATT